AAGAGTTATTTTAAATTGTAATAATATTTCACAATATAACTAGCCTGGGAAAACCCAGACAACTTCCGGCAAATTTAGATTTGCTCTGAAAGTTAGTCTGGCAAAGAGCTCATTCAAGCCCATTTCCAATCCGTCGAAATCGAGGCACCAATCAGAAACGTTGGGGTGGGCTTTACACGATGACGACAGCGCTGGGATTTTAAAGCAGATTTTGTAGCCTATATTACAAAGATGGATGCCGCCGTCGAACATCACTCGTTCGAATCAGCTATCGCGTCTGTTTTAAGCGATTTGAACGTTTCCTTTTTGTTAAAAACCGAGCAAAGAACAACACTCGGCCGCTCTGCATACGTCATCTCCTTCATCGCTCTGATTGGTTTTAGGTCTATCCGCGACATCCGTTGGTGACGCCCCTCTGGAAATGATTTGTCTATGACGCTTTGCCAGACCATAACTCAGTTACAACTGAGAATGGTCTGGTTTTAACCAGGCTACAATATAACTAGTATTTTTAATTAAATAAACAGCCTTGGTGAGTATAAGAGAACTATGTGGTAACATTAAAATAAGGTTCCATTTGTTAACCTTAACATGAACTAACAATAAAAAGTCAATCTACTTGAGGGCACAGCTGATTGGTTCCTGCTGTATCAGTAGCCAATGAGCTCGCTGCTAAGCCTTCAAATACTTGGTCAGCATTTGCAGTAGCAGTGCAGAGTGCTTTCAGAAACCCTCCACCTTCCCCAGCTCCACCTGTATAGATCTGCTACGGGTAATTCATGTACGCTATATTGTTCAGCAGCAGCATGTCTTACTTTCTCACAACTGCGTGTCGTGTATGTATTAGCAGTAGCAAGTCTCGCAGCAGCGTAGCAGATCAAATCCGCCAAGACCAAACATATCAATATTGTCATACCCATTACCATGCCAATCACTCAGAGTTGTCATGACAGAAATATACACATACACACACCCAAACTTAATTAGATAGATAATAGATAATTTGCATTCGTAGACCTCTTTATTCAACAGCCAGAAAAGGCAGTTCTCTCTCTCTCTCTCTCTGTCTCTCTCTCAATTTGCATTTACAAGACTTTCCCAGTGGAAAGCACCTCTGACATGGAAGCCTTGGCTACCATGGCAACATGCCACAGAATTAAATATTTACCTCAGAGGCACTGGCCAGCCAATGCAATAAACTAGATTCCTTCAGCCTCAACTTTAACAGACCAGGTGCACAATGACATTAACCTTTTGTTCTGATTAATTAATGAAATAAGTCATCCAGTTTGCTCAAGTGATATTGCTGTTTGACTTTTATAGTCACACAAAGCTAAAATTTTTCCAGACTTCGGCACAGTATTAAGGCAACAAGAAAATCCCAGTCTTTAGCAATGCGAGTCATGTCCGGCACATTAACAACAGCAGTTCATCATGTGACCAGGAGCTCTTGGTGTGTTTTTCATATCCCATTTAAACCAGCAAATGTGTAACTTGTACTCAAGTCAAAAGTTAAGTGCTAAATCTGATTACAGAGCCCATCCGGCTAGTGTGACTATAGCTTCAATCTCTTAAATGTCTTCTGTCTAGATAATTATATTACTATTACAGTGCAGATTTCCGTACACATGTGGTTCATCTTTATTTATTCAATGAATGTGGAAGGGCTATGCCAATAAAACAGAATAAACACAGTTATAACTCTAGATTGGTGGGTCAGTATTTGTGTAAAGCAGTGTTATTTTAGTTGTATTTATTTACTAGTATAGTATTTATTAACATTTTTAATTACATTTTTTGTTTTTACATTTCTATAGCTTCAGTTGAATTTTATTTCAGTTTTAGCAATTTTAGTACTACAACTTACACTTTTTTAATTTAAAATCTTCTTGTAAGTTTGTTTTTAGGTTTTAGTTTTTCATCTTATCTATAGTTCTAGTTAACAATAACAACACTGGTGTAAAGCCATACCTTTACAAGGTTTCAAACCAGGTAAGAACTGCAGTCACCTCTTGTTTTGCAGATAAAGGGCACTTTTGCACTGGTTTTTGGTTAATGTTTCAGCGTTTAAAGGGTGGAGAGCTGCAAAAACTTTAATGTTTCATAGCCGTGCTCCAATGAAATGAATCTGGGTAAAAGATCACTGTATTATTCAAACCCCATTACTTTCACCTGAATGGCTAATTTCTAATGTAATCCCTCAAGCTGATTCCTTGCTCCATAAATATTTGGGCATCAGCAACCAAACATGATTTGGATTGCATTGAGATGACATTTTCACACTCACTGCCACGCAGGAAGGAAACGGCAGTGTGAAATCATGTGGGTGAGTGTGTAGAATAGATCCAACTCTTTCCCACTCATATAAATTAGGCCATGTGAGTGTGCTTTCAGCAAGTGGGCTTTACCATTAAAACCATAGTCATAGTGTATCTTTATGCCAGATAGCCTTTATAGTTCCCGTACACACCTCGAAGACAAACATCCACCTGACTACACAGCCAATGTCAATAAACGGACTCCGTTATGACCAATGTTTAACCAAAACATGTATCTGTGCAGTCTGATAGTGACTCTAAATGTTTTACCAATAGTTGTTCTGACAGTGCTGTGCAAAAATGTAGCTGCAATTCTTAACTTAAGATTGGTTGAGATAACTTAAATATCCAACTCAACTAAAGTTAACTAAACTTAATATTTTAAGTCAAGCACAAACAAGTACTTTTTTAAAATTGAAACAACACATTACTTATTCTAATGTTGAATTTTAAGTTGATCACAGCAATCATTTTTTACAGTGTAGTTTCCCTTTAGCTGGTGACCTAATTAAATGTAAATGGAATAGGCAGAGAACCACACACATGGTTACTTAGGCAACCCAGAAATGACAAATCCATGCAAATAAACACTCAAATGCGTATTTCCGTAACCATAGCTTTTCTAGCACTAAAATATAAAACCTTCCTATAGCTTTGAAGCAAATCAAATCATACATAGATCGTCAAGTAACCTCGGGCTGACCTCAGGACCTTACATGGCCGCTATATAGCCGGAGAAGACCTAGCGGTGCGCTATTGCGTGATGTTTAGTCACACCTGCAGGGTGGTTTTGTGTTTCGTTATCATTGCACATCTCGTCAGACCAGTTCAGCTTTTGGTTTAATGCCGAATGCAGGCAAATAGATACGTTTCCTGCTAAAAGAGGATCACTGACTTGGGTCTGAATGGGAGTCTTGATATTGAGTCACACATTTATCTATTCAATCTCAAGTCCATAGCAACAAAAGAGACACAAACAGCACCGAAAATGCACTGCATGTTTATTGCCTGGAGTAAAATACAAAAATACTGGTTATAGTTTTTATTTTATTTGATATATTTATCAGTTAAAGATACATTATACGAGTTTCATTCAAAATATAGTAATAAAATAAATGTTTAACTTTTGTTAATACATTGTCTTACAACCCTTCGTGCATTTGAAGTCTAAATGTTGTAATTTCTACATGCTTCCAATTTTGTTAGCTGTCTTTGAAAATAATTTCCAGTATTTTCTTCCCAAATCAAAGATTTCTCCAATGAGAAAATTCTTCCATGCACACAGTGCTGTAAACTAGATCTATTACGTTTAATGATCTTGAAACACAGTTGAACCATTTAACCAAATTTTGTACAGTTTAGCATTTGCAGCCTAATGAATCACAGTGTCATTGATGAAACCTGTATACATCAAATGGCTTGCATTGGCATAAAACGAGATTAAATACAAACAATAAAGCAGTGCAATAAATTGAAGTGCTGAGCTTCAATTTTTCGGTTTCTTTTTAGAAAATGCAGCATATTTTATGTTAAGTCTCTTTCAGACTATGCACACTACTATTAATGCATTTAACATTACATAGTGCATCACATATTAACGTATATTACAGTTTTAGCATAGCAGAGATATGCAGAGAGGTCTGAATATGATTTCAAAATGGCATTTTGATACAGGATAAAAGCAGTTCAGTGCGTTTGTGTAATACTACTTAAAGCTGAAAAGCCATGCAATTAGCCTCTAAATAATGTGTCTCACACTGCAAAAAGCCAGCTTTGAAAGACAAAGAAGCCTTCGTTCTGGACCAAAAAAATTAAATCAAGGCATTCCTTTCATCAAACCATGACCTTAAAGAAGCCGTCTTAAAAAAGAATAACTGAACTTAACTTCTGATGGTTTTGGGCCCTTCTGAGACCCAGCTGAGACACTGCTTGCAAAAAAAAGAAAAAAGACCAAGAAGGTCAGAGTTCCAAAATTGTGTTCAAAAAAGGCCATTCTCCCCAAACAGAGCTATTTTTACTGCATAATCTATGCCAGAAAAACGCACTTACAATAACCTATAACAACAATCAGAGTCAAGCCAACGCCAAAACTCAGTCAAGTCCAACAATGTGATTCTGCAATCTCAATTTCCAAAAACCGTTAAAGGAAAACTGTCTATTATATGAACGCATGAGCATAGCACCTTTGCTTTGAGTGATAGAGGAATGTCTGTGTTGATTTTGACCATTTCCTCTTCTAAAGCTCACCAATATATGAAGAACACTTAAAACTGAGCTTAGTTTTGAAATATTTACATGGTAGCCTTATCTATCATGACTCAATGACATCAGAACCAATACTCGCAACACAGTGATAAGTTAAATCCTATTATTTAACACAGTTCAGTTTCTGAGTGGCCTGAGTAAAATGGCAAACAACAGAATATAAACAAGACATATGAATAAAAAGATGCACAATTCTGTTTAAATATAAGACATACCACAGTAAAATTATTTAAAGGGATAGTTCATCCAAAACTGAAAATTCTGCCATCATTTACTCACCCTCACGTTTTCAAAATAAGATATTTTGAAGAACTGTTTTTATCCATTTAATGAACACCAATGGGGTCCAAAACAACATGATTGGACCCTATTGACTTTAATTGCATTAAAAAAAAAAAAAAAAAGTCTCACAAATATCTCTCAAAAGAAAGGAAGTCAAACAGGTTTGGACATGAGGGTGAGTATATGATGACAGAATTTTCTTTTTTTTTTTGTGCAAACTATCCCTTTAACATTTAGAAACTAGCAATAACATACAACGTACATAAAAACACAATAAATTTGCGATGGCTCCTGAGTAGATGTCTTTAAGGGAGTTTTGCTCTTTGTAAAGGCTGCATTGGTTTCTCTAAAGCCTGTAGAGAAATGAACAGCTTGAATCATGTTGAGCAGGTTGTGAGCATCTATGCCATCCACCCACTCACACTTTCATTCTCTCACACACAAACACAGTTTCTGATCTGCTGCATCCACCAACTAAAAATAAAATGACTTAAAATGTTAACAGAACATTGATAAAAAATAGAAGTATTTGTTACATAAACACAAGAGCAGATTGGCGCATTTAAAAAAGCTGCTTTGGACTGTCACCGCTTAAGTGGGCGGAGGTCCGTCGTAGCGGAGCATGATGTTGAAGGAGCGGGCGAAGTTGTTGGACAGTGAACAGCTAGTGCCCTCGTCCATCATGGGGAGCAGGAAGGCCAGCAGCAGAAGAGCCAACAGCAGGAGCTGGAGAGGAAGAGCCACGCGACACACACGGTACAAGAATCCGAGACTGCTGTTTGTCTGCAAAACACACATCCACAGATGCCGTTACATGCTGAATGGCTATATCACAAAACCTAGTGAGTGCGTTCAAATGAGTACAGCGTCCAAGTGTTTATCACACTAGTTTCACTGTAGTTACTGTTTCACTGTAGTCTACTCAACTTTGCTGAAGCAAATCGCTAACTCTCATTGAAAATGAATGACTTGCAGTCTCTGCACAACACTGTCAGTGTGAATTACACAAGGCAACATCCTGAACTGACACATTTTTATAAGTGACTGAATTCAAATGAGTGATTGATGAAAAGCTTAATTAGTTCAGTCATTTTTTTGTAAAGTATTTTGTTTACCCACGTCATGGGAACTTTAACCGACATCGAAGAACATGTTAAATTATTGAAATATTTTAAATCTCAGGGGGTACTTCAAGAAAATATTATAGGACAAAAGGGGTTCGATGACAAAAAAGGTTTGGGAATCACTGCTCTCATGAAAAATACATGAGATACAAAAAATACATAACACATTTTTTTTTATTACATGCAAGAATTTCCTACTGATGCTTTTCAGTAAAAAAAAAAAAAAAAAAAAAAAAAAAAAAAAAAAAAACTTTTTCCCTTCACCTTCCCTGGTTGCAGTGCATTCTAGGATTGCATTATTTAAGAAGGATTTCTTAAATGTTACTTTAAAATTATATATTTATTGCACTTTGGACATGCAAGGCCAACACCCATTTACTCGAATAGGGGAAAACTGAAATTCAAAACCTGATGGCCGAACTTGCATTTAAATAACATGTATAACAAACCGGCAGTAGAATCTGACATTAACTGTTCAATAAATGTTGTTTCTTATCCTCAAATTGCATAAAAATGGTATATTTCTGTTTGGTCCAGCCAATACAGATATGCAGTCCCAAGTGCACATCTCCAGAACACTTCTTTGGTGCCTTATGATACCTAAAAATGTTGCCAAGTTAGGTAGGTGACTCACTACTAGGGTTTATTACAGAAATGTGTACACAAGATGAGCTCAAATTCTGACTGTAAAGATACTTCTCTGAGTTTTAGAAGTTATTATAAATAGTCAGCACATAAAAAAAGTACTATTACTCTAATAAGCTATTAGACTTATACTTTTCTCCTGGTGGATGATGAAAGGGCAGAAAAAATCCCTCATAATCTCATATAATTCCTCAAAGTCGTCAGATTACAAAAAAGAAAACTCTTTGATAAAAAGATAAATCTTGGCTTTTGATTGAAGCTTTTTGCCTAGATGACTCACTGGATGCCGAAAAAACAAATTCACACAGACAAATGTGTACCTGATAAAATGCACAGGGAAGTTTTTCAAGCTCCTGTGGAATTGTGGGAGTGAATATCCACCTACAGCAGCTCAACAACCGCCATCGCTCTGAGCGCCGGACTGTGACATATCTGAACTTAATATGACCCTTTCTATCTAACGCCTCTGTAGCAAAGCTGAGGAACTTGGGAACTTTTACTTTGTGTTTGAGAGAGTGCAGAAGTGTGAGGAAGTGAGGAGGAGGAAATGTGGGTGGATGAAAAGCAGAAATCTCTTTCCACTCTTTTTCTCTCTTGTTAGCCCTTTATTGAGGAAAATGTAATTACACTGGAAGGTAATTACAGCAGTGCTCAGGCCTTGCATAATGTCCTTACAGATACACATCATCATATCGTTCTGGCTTGATAATTATACATTAGGAAAATATACTTTATCACAACAAATAACTATATATTCTATGCGAGGAGCCTGTAATTAGTGGCAGAAAGATTACCTCACTGACAACTGAAGCGTCATCTTCAAAAGATGATCGTATTTGGTCAGTGACGGAGACAATCAGAGTGTGTATTTACCCTGCATGATAATGACAGCAGAAGGTGATGGCGGTTTCCACGACAGAGTCAGACGCTGAAGTTCAGGTGAGCAAAATTTGCTTGTGTGGTCTTATGATGCATTAATGAGCAGCTTTAAACACGTTTGCAATGGCAAAATACAACCAAGAGAAAAATATGTTCTGGAATGGTTGGTTAAAATTAGGAGACATATAGCAGATGCTAAAAAACGCAATTACAGTAGGGGTGTGCACTGTGCACACACAACTACATATTTGTAAAATTAAATAGATGATTGGTTGCTTGAAAGATTAGTCAACTAATTGGACAAAGAACTCATATTATATACATATAATACTGCTTTAAAAGGAAATCTTTAAGACGTGGTGATCAATATGCATTGTAAAAAGCACTTTTATACACACACACACATATTTATATATATATATATATATATATATATATATATATATATATATATATATATATATATATATATAATGAAAACAAATACAGTATATAATAAACAAAGTTTAATCAATATAAATAAAATATAAATGTAATTTATAGAAAATATTTCAATAGAAATACATAAATCAATTAGCCAACTGACCACTGTGACTAAACCACATCACTCTGATAACACTCAGTAAATGATAATGAAGCATCCAGAAACAAATAAACAAAACCCTCTTAATTAATTGGCATTATGTTTGGATGCCCCATTTCATAACGATTCAAACGTTTTTTTGTGTGTGTGCATATTTTGCAGAACTAGTTCAACCAAAGCATCTGTGAATAGCCTTGGTAATTGGAAGGTAATGCTCCATGTGCAAAACAACATTTCTATCTCCATCCACTAATATCTTATGTAAATAAAGCAGGCCTATCAGAGCAGCCTTTCGTATGCAATCAGCAGGGCACCTGCGTCTCTTCTCAAGAAGACATGACCGCTCATTAACAGATGGCCAGAGAGTGGGAAAAGAGGTGCTAAAAAAGGTGTGAACAATAAATTTGAGAAATTACTCAGAAAGATTAACACACTCCCCAGAGAGATGCAGTGGAGCAACTGCCTTGATGTTTCTAAGCGGCCACGGAGCCAAAAAATAGCATTTGTCTTTGGGGGCTAAGACAGTGCTTTGGTTCAGGCTTTCAAGATGCTATTCATGTGCCTCTATTTCAAAGACCTCCTACTAATCCAGCTGAACCGTGTCCCACTTCACTTCAGAGTGCTTACAAACTTTTTAAGTCAACATGAAACGGCATTCACATCCCATTTTACTTCCGTAATGTGACATATTTCAGAGTGAAATGCAATATATATATATATAAAAAGTAGATTTGAACTGCTAAATGAGCTGCAATATTTTTCTGTAAAAGCACTTGAAAAAGCACTTCACTTTGCTGTGAAATGTGCTATAAAAATATTTTTTTTGTCCATCAGAAATTGATTTGGTCATAAAATATGGGTGTTCCACACAAGAATATCACAACAATATCTAATAGCCTATGAGGCCAAGGTTACAAAGTGCTAATAAAAATCCATATACCCTCCTCCAATATATTACATTAAATCAATTTGCAGCTATAAATCACATGACGCCGTAACACAGTGACATTGCACTGCAGAAACAAACAGCCCCAGTTGTGTCAATAAATAAACACTGCATTCAATTCTGTTCTAACCCTTAAAAGGGAATACTTTCTTTTCAAAGAGTGTTCAAACATACTTCACTGTCATATCAGAGAGATTTTTGAAACCCACTTTAAACAGAAGCCCACTCACAATATCAAGACGTATGTTTAATGAATACAACCTACCTTTCCAGCTCGGACAAGCTTCTGTTCTTGTCCACTGACACCCTGAAACAAACAGAAACAATTGCTTTATTTAGTTAGATTTGGCTACAAGCTGCTGCCCCCTACTGGTGGACACATGATACTACACCAACATCTTCATTGGTTAAGGGAGAAATCATGTAGTAGATGATATATGACTCTTTTCTGGTATTCATCATATAACCATTTTTTTCACCATTTTTTCAAAATGATGGCTTCAGGTTAAAACATTTATTCATGGCACAAGCAAACAAATGTATGAATGTAAAGAAAAATAGGTAGACATAGGTTCTTGAGGAAAATTTGAATAATAATTATATTTTGATTTGACAAAAAATATAAATGAATATAATTTAATATAAATGGAAAATATTTTTTCTTCATACCTTGTGTTTGAGCAGACCTTTGAGGTCGCCAGCCTCTTGAAGTTTGGATTTGTATAACATCCAGTGATAACGCAGCTCTTCTAGCTCTATGTCCACCTCCACTGACTTACTCCGCTGACCAGACATCAGTTTTGTGAACTGACTCTGACCCCAGGCTACACCAGCACGCAAACCCTATACAGATATCAAGACAGAGTTACTAGTAGGGGTTTGTGTGGGTGTGGTTATTAAAGATTTGTGCTCATAATTGGATCATCATCCAATTATTTCAAATCCCAAATTGACCCTTTGTTTAAATTATTTTTTACCAACCAATTCTGCCTTAGCAACTTGCCGTCTATAATCACCAGTTAAAAGTTTGGGGTCCGTCCGTTTAAAAAAAAAGAAGTTTTTTAAGTCTCTTATAGCAGCTTTTATTTATAAAAACAAAAAACAAAAAACAAAAAAAAAAACAGATACTTAATAACAGTTTAATATATGTTTTAATATATTTAAAATCCAATTTATTCCCGTGCTGACAAGCATCATTACTTCAGTCTTCAGTGTTACATGATCCTTCAGAAATCATTCTAATATGCTGATTTGCTGCTCAAGAAACATTGGTAACGCTTCCTTTTACAGTCCTGTTACCCATGTACATACTATGTACTTATTATAGTAATTACAATTACTGGGTAATAACTAGGTACTACCCCTAAACCATGTACTTACCTTATATTAGCCAGTACTTTCTGGGTAAGTACACTGTAAGTACACGTAAATACTGTACCTTAAAAGGAAGCGTTACCGAAACATTTATTATTATCAATATTGAAAACAGTTGTGCTGCTTAATATTTTTGTCATACATTTTAGTTGTTTCTTTTGATAAATAGAAAGTTAAACAGAACAGCATTTACTTTAAATAGAAATCTTTTGAAACAATCAAGTCTTCACTCACTTCAATTTAATGCATCCTTGCTAGGGCTGGGCGATAAAACGATAACGATAATTATCGCGATATAATTTCTCGATAAAACGATATCAAGAGGTCGATAAATGTTCGATAATGTGTATGCGCCAAAAGCGGAACGAAACTCATATTATACCTTTTAGGCTACTTATTTTTTGAGAGAGAGACATCTTTATTCACATACATACTAATGCCAAGAACAAAGAAGATGATCAAGTATGTGAACTGGTCCCCAAAGAAGCTCTAAAGCTTATACTCGGGGGCCATAACAATCAAAGTAAAAAAAGTAAAAAACAAACAAAAACAAACAAAAAAAAAACGATCGCAGATGTGTGACCATACATAGAAAATATTTCATACAACATTCGTACAACAAATAATAGGGGATCCCATTTCACAAGTACAGTTTTTCTTCACAGTGTACCATGAGATTATAAAATTAATACTGACATACATACAAAGTAAGAGATAATACATACTTCAAGAAAATGAATACAGACTCAATAATTGTTTCTTGAGCTTTTGTTTAAAATAAAGAAAAGAACTTGAATTTTTTAAGTTTTCATCCAGGTCGTTCCAAATCCGCGGTCCCCGGCACACCACACTCATACCAGTGCTTTTTAATCTCCGTTTTTTTCCAATAATAATGTGCTTATTTCTAGTGAGGAAAGTGTGCCGGGGATAGCGAATAGGAACAAGTTCACACAGCCTACCATTTAGTCCATTGACCACCTGGTACATAGTACATGCATTATGAAATTTATTGTGTTCACTTAGTCTTAAAATACCATACCTAAGAAACATAGAGCAAGTTGGAGCATTAAAATCAGCCCATGAAATGGCACGAATAATTTTTTTTTTGCAAAATTTCTAACTTTCTTAGGTAAGTACAGTAAGTGTTGCACCATATGATATTGCAGTAGTTTAAATGAGGTTCAAAGAGGGTTTTATAAAGAGTGATTAATGTTGCACGAGGAAACAGATATCTAAGCTTAAAGAACAGACCAACATACTTTGATAGCTTTTTAATAAGGTATTCAATATGGTGTTTAAAGTTTAGGTGATCATCTATAAAGACACCCAAGAATTTAGTCGTCTTTACTCTCTGTAGTTCCTCTCCCTCTATTTTAATCTGTAGATTTAAATCATCAAGTTTAAGTTGTTTTTTATTTGAACAAAATATTATGTAGTTAGTTTTACTAGTATTTATAGACAATTTATTTACTTTAAACCAACTGTCAACATTTTGAAGCTCTTTGTTAAGTAATTGTTGAAGTTCAAGTTCATTTTTATGTGATAAAAACAAATTAGTGTCATCTGCAAAAATTACTTTATGCAGAATCTTTGATGAGTTTTCCAGATCATTAATGTAAATAATAAAGAGGAGAGGACCTAATATGGATCCTTGTGGAACACCACATTGAACATATTTGTTTTCTGAAGTCTGTTCGCGTATAGTTACATATTGTTGCCTCTGATATAAATAACTCTTGAACCAATTAAGAGATTGACCTCTAATTCCATAATGGTGCAATTTATACAATAATATGGAAAAATCAATAGTATCGAAGGCCTTTGAAAGGTCTAAGAATATACCGATACCATATTCCCCCTTTTCTATGGCATCATTGATCTTTTCAGTAAGATCAAGGATTGCCATACTAGTGGTATGTTTTTTCCTAAAGCCATACTGGGATGGATTAAGTATATTCAATGTATTGAGATAATTAATCAATCTATTATACACTACTCTTTCCAGTATTTTGGAAAGACTTGGTAAGATGGATATGGGACGATAATTTTTTATTTCATTTTTGTCACCAGTTTTGTAAATCGGAATTATTTTTGCAATTTTTGTCATTCTGGGGACAATTCCTGTAAGCAGTGAGAGATTAATGCAATGTGAAAGTGGTTCAATTATTTCATTCGCAATACCTTTTAATATTTTGTTACTAATTTCATCTTCTCCAGCAGAATTTGAGCTCTTCAGAGCCATTATGATATTATATAATTCTGTGGCATCAGTAGGCTGTATAAGTATATATACTTATACTGTTATAATGTCTCTTACTGATCAATAAAACTGAAATTTAACAAAAATAGACAGGGTTGTGTCATTTTATTTTATATAGCCAATATTTTACATAGTCTTTTCATTACTATTTTATTTACTGTATACTGTTTGTTTATTTTATTGACTAAACTATTTACTATTACTCACTGTATCTTATGTTTACTATTTGCACTGCATTGTAGTTGTACCATATCGTATTACCATAGATAAAGGATCCATCAGTTCGGGTCAATCACAGAAAAAATAGGACTTAATAGGGAGTGGCCAGACTTTCCATAGACGGGCTTTGGCCTGGCTTTATCTGTGGTTATCATGATCTAAATGCATGATACTGGATGACCAATGGTTAATTTTAATAAAACTTAACAGTCAGAATATTACATTTTACCAAATAAAAATGTGGTCGTTACATTTTTTTTAAAACAGATGTTACGTTTTTTGTTAATGAACATAAATTTAACATAGTAGTATTAGCTTGTGTTAGGATGCAGATTTACTGTCAACTCACTGTCAAATATGCGTTTCGAGACAAAACATGTAATATTAATATTGCAGCCTGCACTGCAAACTGTGCTGAAAAAATATATTTCTATTCAGATATTTAAAATGTTCACCTGTTTGGCAAGTGGTTGTCATGATATGTGTTCTGACAATAAAGAGTAGTTTAAAACCACAATTAACGCTCTGGTTTCTACAACTTTCACTTAGGAGCAAAAATCTGCCTCTAAACTTGAAAGAAATAAAGATTTTACATTTATCGTGATAATTATCGATATAGACTAATATAAAAAAAATTATCGTGGTATTATCGCCCAGCCCTAATCCTTGCTAAATAAAAGTCTTATTTTCTTAAAAAAAAAAACATATATATATATCTTCCTGACACCAAAACATTTGAACGGCAGTGTACATGGAAATCCTGTGCATTTGTATGACATTTTACAGTAATATCTGAAATATTATTACTGGGGCACTTAATAACAATGAAACAAGTGAGAAGGAAAAGTTACCAAATGGCTGATAAAATTCTTTGCAATGTGTCAATTAATTTCAGCCCACATAGGAATAATATCCAATCACTTTTAAACACTTTATGAGCACATAATCCTGAAAATGTCCAAGTTATTCCTATAAGACGTTCTGTGTCTGCTTAGCAAACAGTAACTAATGGAGGAGGAAGCGGTTTCTACTAACATAAAGTCAGATCTTAGTATTAAAGCATCTGGGCACTTTCTCAGCTGTAGGGGAGATTTAAATAATTGAAAACAATCTCAATGTGGCTTCTTCACATAGCACAACCTGCAGATGTTGTTTGATGTTGTTTCGTGGTATTATTCAACAGGAAGACCACCTATGACTTGCCGTTCAAAAGCTTTTCCAAATCTGAGCTGTGACTGAACAAAAAAAAAAGTCAAATGTGGCACAGTGGCTGTCAGCTCAAATGTCATCAGATATGACAGCTTCCAGGTATTTGTGAAGTTAGAATTTTTCCAAGCCTGGGGTAACAACTGAGCAGAAGCCTTTTAAAGCTTTACAGATCTGCGACTACATTCGCACTGATGGAAACGTACATAACACTACACTACACTACACTACACTACACACCAGACTCTCACAAACATGTAGCTTCACATATAGAAAATTATCCAGCATATTCTGTGTGACCAAAGTAAAATATCACACTGCGCTTTGTTGAATAAGATATCAAAGCTATCAGATTGTTTTTTACTCTTAACACTTTTTGATATTTTGGACTCTTCATGAAACTTTAATCAAAAAGAAAGCAAAAAAATATTAACAAACACTACCAACCTTGAGTGTATTCTGTCTTATCCTCAGTTCTTTAGCGCTCAGGGATCTTTGGTTGTTCAGAATTCCTGTGAGTTTGTCATTTTCCTTGTGAAGCCACGCTTCAAACTCCCTCCTCTGGGCCTCCAGATCAGCATGACGCTGGGGCCCCTGAGAGCCCATCTACAGGAGAAATGGAAAGAGACATCCCTCTGTCCGTTTATTATTATAGCCTAGGTATCGCATGCCTAATGGTGGCTTTAGGGCCGAGTCATCTAGCTAAAAAATTATCATGATATATTCTTAGTTCTTTTGATGATATATCTCTTTTAATGCATTCGCTCTGAAATAATTAGAAGGCTTTTTCCTCCTTCAAAGTAATATTTTGACCAAACAGCCACTGGTGCCATGGTATGGCTCAAAATGTTTGATGAAGTACATTAAATTACATAAAAAAACTTTTTTACCTCAATTTAAAATAATTAAGGCATGTTTTCCAAATGTTTTTTTTTTTTTTTTTTTTACTACTAAATTAACAAGAGGAAAATATCATTTTCAATTACGGTATGGTTTGGTTCATGTACCGTATTTGAAAGAAGTCTCTTATGCTCACAAAAGCTGCATTTATTCAGTCAAATATACAATGAAAACATTATTATAATGAATTATTATTACAATTTAAAATGACTATTTTCAACTTCTAATACCCTTTTAAATACTACTAATTAATTAAATTACCTTAATTAAATACTAATTTTAAAAATGTTATTTACTGACCCCAAACTTTTAAACAATAGTGTACATGTACCAGTATAACAACGCATTACCAAACTGCTTACATAAAACAATACATGAAAAATGTATGAATCGACAATAAATAAAATTACTGCAATATTCACTATGTAATTTTCTTATATCGCATCGCATGCAAAAATCGCTACAAATATATTGCACGTTTTTGATATAATGCCTGCCCTAATGGTGCCAGTAGGAATAACAAGAATCATATTTTAATCATCCTAACCTGATCGTCATCAGTTGAGCCATAAGCAGCACTGGTCTCATCAGGTGGGATCTGTGACGGCCGCATCACTGTCTGTGCATCATCAGAAAAGCCGTATTTGCCTTCCATATCCAGGTCTTCAATCCCAGAACTGGCTATGTGTTCTTCAACCCATTCACCAGTCCGACCACCGCTCCTAAGCAAGTCATCTCCGTAAGAGCCTTTTATCCCTATCTGCTTCCTGTTCACAGTACGGTCACTTCCAGACATGACTGCATCCACCTCATCATCCATGGACTGGTCTCGGTAACTCCTCTCTCTTCCCCTGACCTCTGAACGTTCAGGTCTTGCGATGCCCTCAGAGACCACAATGTTCCTCTCTGGCTCTGGGTGATCTGTTGATTCAGATCTGTGCAGGAATCTCTGATGCCGTTCCAGTCCTTTGTCAGCAGTGGCAATTTCCACTTCGAAGTCTAAAGCTGTGCCCTGGTGATGCCCGTCTGCCCATCTGTCCAGCAGGAACTCAGTTTTCTGTGATAGGGAATCGTGGTCGCCTGTGGCAGCATGTCCATTTAGAAGCCTAACAAGTGACGGTGAAAGTAATAAATATGTTGCCAAAAATTCCCTTTTTAATTTAATTTAATATTCAGTAGTGATAAAGAGAAATATATTGGCCATGTTGGCAATTAATCAGCCAAAAATGTTAAATTGGATAAGTATTTTAACAACGAAAAATTACACATATCACCTATAAAATAAAAAGTTAAATAGGAAATGCTACATTCTAGATCTCCTGACTAGTAAACACAGAACTGATTCAAATAGCAATCAACAATAATTGAGATTAACATGGGTAGGTGAACTGGTTGCAATTAAAACAGAATGTGAAATATGCCCTTTGGAATTCCTATTATGTTTTTAAACAGGTCTGAGAAAATTGTATCAATTATGCTTCTTGAGTCATAGTTTCTGTCCATTTAATCCCATCAACACCCTGCAAGCATTACTTCTCCTAACCTGTTAAGATTGAGACTCAGCGTGTGGAGGGACGTCCAGGACTCTCGAAGGCGTTTAAGGTCCTGAACGATGTGAACTTTGCCGTTCTCCGAGGTTTTGGCCAGCACGGTCTGACCCTGAGCCTCCGTCTGATGAAGCTGAAGTTCCTTCTCTGGAAACTCTCCAAGCGCCCTCTAGGGGACAACAACAGTGACACAAGATGGAGTCATGTGTGCACAGGCAAACATTCATGTGCTCATATCCTGCCCATTGTGTGCTTTTGTGTCATGACTCAAGTGACTTGTAATAGTAATACATCAAGTATTTGAATCTTGTTAAATACGTTTATGAATGGGTTAAATATAGTTATAGATTAAAGTGTAGAATGTTATTTCTTACAAAACAATACCATTATATATTCATGATTTCTGCCAAAATACAGGTGCTGCCACATTTAACTGACATAAAGTGATACTGAAAATAGCTGACAACAAATGTTTAATTATTATTTAGCTTGGACTGTATTCTAATATTCAGGGATTCCACTTAAAAAACAAAACAATTTCATTGACTTTTCTAAAGATTTTCTAAATCTGAAAATAATTTCAAATCGCCTTTTCAAATTGTTTTCCATAACAGTGGGAACTATTTATATGGCATAAATTATTAACTTTTAAAACATTTTTATAGCACACAATGTATAGTATTTATTTATTTATTGTAAGTGTTTTAAAGCCTTAGTTTGGACATTGTTTGAAAGGTGTTGTGGAATATCATTCTTTATAACAAAATGCTTTTCCAAAAATGTTTGGCTTCTTTATTCAGATTACTAAACCAAATAAATCAACAGATTAATCAATTATTCAAATAAAAGAAAACGATAATAGTTATACCATTATAGATTTAAATGAGATCCTTCAAGCATTGTAAAAAGATTTCAGAAGCTTTGTGATGTTTATTTCATGTAATCTTCTTAATAAAAGCAACATTAACTGTAGTAACTAAGCTAAAGTGTAGCTCATAGGCGTACCTCAGCCTCATGCTGGCGGTTATCAATGCTCCATTCCCCATCTGATCCACAAAACGACTCCAGCTTCTGTCTCATGATCATCAACCACTTCTCCAAATTCAGAATATTTTCATGTAAACTCTCATGTTCTGCAATGCTCTTCTCACTTTCATTCACCTTCATCTGGTATGAACAACAAAATGCATACATGTGAATACACACATACGTTGTTGCACTATGAAGCTGAAACAGACTTGAGAAGGATTTTAGTGCAATAACATTCTGGTATCTGTTATAGAAAAAAAATACATATATATAAAAAACAAATCTCTTCAGACCACAAGTGCACATTAAAACTGAAGTAAGGAGGTTTGATCAAGGCCTTCATAGTCATCTTCTTCATCACCATCATGATCAACACACAGCAGGAGGTGTGGAAACCGGGGTGTGATTTCAGCGGTTTCCACAGATCTTCAGGGTTAAATCAGAATCACTTGTGAAGTTGGGCATTTTTGAAGTGGTTAGTAAAAATATATGTACGTATTTCTATCAATTAACGATGCAAAAAAACTTGAGGAATAAAAGGAATAGTTCACCAAGGAAGAAAATTAATTTACTCTATGAAAATCTTCCTTTTGCAACAGCTCTAAAATCTCATTTGAGCTTATGCGTATTCATAACTTCATAGCTAAATTTGCCACAGTTGCTGTAAAATTCTTTCTACATTTTTTGTTTTGTATTACGGATGTCTGGGGACATGATGTAACAAGAGAAATTGTGTTCATACAATTTCTGTACAGTTGCGAGTGCGATGTTGGAGTATGATAATATGATAAAATATGATATCATTTTCAATAGACTGCAGTCTGAGAAGATCTATAGACATATTTTTGTAAATTCCAAAAAAAAAAAAAAAAAAAACATTGAATGCTGTTCTTTTGAACTTTCTATTTACGAAAGACTCTTGAAAAAAATTATCATGGTTTTCACAAAAATATTAAGCATCCTTGAGCACCCAATCAGCATCATAAAATGATTTCATAGAAGGATCATGTGACACTGAAGACTGGAGTAATGATGCTGAACATTCAGCTTTGACATCACAGTAATAAATTACATTTTAAAAGAATTCAAATAGAAAATACTTATTATAAATTGTAATAATATTTCACAATATCATCGTTTTTTACTGTATTTTTGATCAAATAAATGCAGCCTGAGCATAAGTGACTTATTTCAAAAGCATTTAAAAATCTTTTTAAAAATCCAGGAGTGTATCGTTTGATTTATATTGCTGGTTAATGTATTGGAGTTTGGGGCAATAAAAAAGTCAGAGACAGTCCGACTTTCAAAAAAGAGCTCCAGTCAACCAAAAAAATAAAATAAAAATAAATTCACAACTCCATTTCCACTCTGCTTACAAATACTCCGCACAAAGTTAGCGTAGTGTATGGGTTCCGATAAATTGGAATATAGCATGAACTACTTCACTGTAGTCTGCTTTTGTTGTACAGAAAAGAGGAGCACAAACACACTTCAAATTATCTAATTTTGTGTTCCACGAAAGAAAAAAGAAAAAAGAAAAAAAGAAACAATATGGGGGAAAACCAAAAAACCCCAAGCAGAACGGATCTTACCCGAACGTCCTTATAAAGCACATTCCAGTGGGCATACAGACGCTCAAACTTTGTCCTGTTTGCAGGGTTGGATGACACCAGCGTCTCCAGAGCTATGATATGGGCTTCACAATCGTCCAAGTCCTTTCTAATGACCTGTAGATAGATGCACACTCATTTTACATTCAGTCTGCCACTAGCGAGTCTTTCCCGCTCCCACCTGGACAAGCCACTCTGATCAACCAGCGCAAACACATTGAGCTCAGCGTGACATAACTCCTAGCTCCTTAAATTATTCACATGACTCTTTTAGTGTGTTCCTGAAAGACGATCTAATCAAAAGTCACTGTACGTCTACAGCTTACCACATGCAGAGATTAAAACCAAAACAGCTGTTTAAAAAGAAATTCAAAAAGCAAACTTTTTTGAAGTCTGAAACAGCTATACGCTTCTGTTTTCTCTGCTGCTCACCCGGAGTTGATCGGCCTGGCTCTTCTTGGCTAGAATGTCAGGTTGAAGTTCACCCGTCTTGACAAACCGTTCCTTTATGAAGGTCAGTTTTTCATGTATGGATTCATAGGCATTGGAAAAGTCCTTCGTCTTTGATATCAAACCCTGAAGGCGTACATAGGATAACATATATATTATATAATTTATATTCACCCACTGATAGAAATCTGAAAATGGTGCTTTATTTAAAAAAGGATGCAGATATAATATAATATTAGAATATATATATATATATATATTAATAATAATAAGATAATATTGTAATAAAAAAGAAAACAAAGAAAGTGATTTGGAATAATAATTGAATAAAATTATCTTCCATGGAATATTTGGAAATGTAAACTGATATTTCGTACTGACAACCAGCAGTAAAAGATATAAATAACTGGCTTACAACCTTTTTTTGGGGTGAGAATACTAATGTGCAAAAGACTTTTGCACAGCACTGTATATATATGTAGATATATATTAGACATTTGTTTGTACTTTATCATTTCCTCCATAGTCTTATAATTAACATATTAAACATATCCATTTATTATTATTTTTTTGCAGTTTTTTTTAATTTGATCTATGTTTGTATTCAATACAACTGTTCTTAATTGCTGCAGACATTGATAAAATACCAATAAAAAATCCTCTTCATTTAAAGGTAAATAACTTTATAAAAAATTAAGAATAGGTTGTTATTCTTTACAACTTTATCTGCCTGCATACATTTATTCAAACAAACAAGGCTTCTTGTTTTTTCAGCCAGATATGATAAGCTGTGACTTCGACCATATTTTCTGTTATGTAAGACTATGCATGTTATGGCTAATGGCGGGGGTAAAGACTGTTGATGTAGCTCAGGCTTTTACAGTCTGTATACAGCAATAACATTTTGAGCTCTGGCTGTTGGTGTACCTGCAGGCGGTTCTTGCGCTGTTGGAGCTGGCTGTGGAGTAACTCTCTCTTCCTCATATCCCCGCTGAGCTCTTCCAACAGATCAACAGCTTTCTCTTGGCCAAAAACAGAGCTGAGCAGATCACTCTTCACCTGGAGCAAACTCAAGCGCTCCTGGAGTTGCACGCTGTTTTTAAGTAACTTCTACAAAGAACAAAACAAAAGAAGAAAGAGCACACTCAATAACTTCAAAGAGAACAAAGCATCAACACTGAATTAAGGTGCCAAGATGAAGGCAAAAATCACTGCAAATGCTTAAATACAATATGATCATTTCCTCAACAGATTGTAGCATAAACTGGATTTGTACCCTTTATTTTTTCAAAACAAAGTGTAAATCAGGTACCAAAAGTACTGAATGGGAAAACACTACAACATTTAGAGTAAAAAAAAAAAAGAGGCTGATCTTCAATACAGCTCAAATCTCTGCATGAGGTGTTCTGAGGTGTTCTCAACAAAAACCCAATATGAGCTTCAAACAACTGCACCACTCAGTAATATTATTTAGCTGGCTAACATAAATGGTTTTGTCAAAATTGCAAGAATTACGTAAGATAACCCTTAAAAAAAACATTTATAAAAATATAAATAAATTATAAAGCATTTTGCGCCATAAGTGATAATATCTGAGCAGGCATGTTTATGAATTAATAGCAATCGAGTTACATAACAATATAGTTTCCAGCTATTATTGCAAATGAAAAAACATATACATTTTTTTTGTTAAATATGTATTTAATTTAAATTAATGAATTTTACATTTTTGGAATGGGCCAGACTAGTGTACAAGTTTGAATACATCCTTGCTGAAAAAAAGGATACATTTCTCAAGAAAAAAAAAATCTTATTGACCCCAAACATTTGACCAGTAATGTATCTGGAGGGACACATTTTTACACCACACGCTCACATGCTTTTCCAAGAAAACTGTGGCTTTAAATAATTTACCTCTATATTCTGCACGAGCAGAGCGATATGGGAGAATTCCGTCACCTCGGCGGAAGCCTCCAGTACCTGAGAAACCACCTGACTCCACTGGCTGAAGCCATACAGAGGGTCCTGCAGTATCTGCTGGAGAGTCGTCTCGCTTTCAGAGGACAGCCTGAAAGATCTGCCTTTCACACTGTCACAGGAAACAAAAACAACTCTACTGAGTAGTCCTTTACAGCATGAGCTTATAGGGCTTTCAACAGATGGCTGCCACAAAACAAATGCATAAATAAATGCAGTAAACCCTGTGTGTAATGCACTAATTGTTTGAAGTGCTTACATTAGCACTCTTTTATTGCTGGATGCACATTGTTTACAGCTGACTAGACCTGTGTGAGTGACATCCCAATTGACAGTAACACAATGGGAATGTGACAAGCCTCCCGTTGTGTCTGCATGATAGAATGTTTACCTACGTCAGTATCATCAATAGCTAATGATTAATAAAATATCCATCAAAGTATTTCTCCAAGCCTCATCCCTCCTTTGCCGGAGGCTCTTTAGGTGTGCGTGTGTGGTTGCTGCTCACCTCTGGTACTCTTTTACCACTGCTAGCACCTCATCAGACAGGTTTTTAGAATCTTGTGGGAATCGGAATAGCTCTTTCAACCGGGATTTTATCTGTTCCACCCTGGGCTCCTCTGCGGTGAGCCTGTTGCGCACCCTCTGAAATGTGGATGTAGAGAAATTAGTACACACATCATGAGTTTGAAGGGAGCTCATTCAAGCAGGGCATTAACGCAGAATTTCTCCACATGGGGTCCAGACAGCTTTCATTGATCTAAAAAAAGGTTTTCATCCTTGTTGGTTTTTCCCCACTGCTAACAGCAAACTTGGTCCAATTAATAACTTTGTCAAATTGAAATAAAAACATCAGATTTCAAATGCCATTATTATCATCTACAATTGATTGGGTGTTTTCAGTAAAGGTTTAATTGTAATGCCTATAATCTCAGTTTCTTGGGCCAGAGACAGGGGAAAGCACCCTGGAAAGATGGCCATGTATAATTTCAAAATAAATGTCAGGTAATAATTAAAAATATATATAATGCACACAATCCTTAATCTTAAACAGCAATATTATCTACAATATCTAAAAATTATGCTGTTTTTATCATATATATTATGCCATGACACAACTTCTGACACTGTTTTTGCTAAGTTTAAATCAGAAAACTTAATATTAAAACATCTCAATGTCTAAAAAGTCGAATCTAGATACAAAAAAGGTGATTGTGCAAGGTGAATGCAGTAAGTGAATAAGACGGAAGATGTTTGCACTGAAATACTGAATACAAAGTGTCACAACATTTCACCCTTGTGTGTCCATCATTTAGGAGGTATTCCAAACCACAGAGCTCTTCCAAAACTACTTGTAGAATTTGATTTACTACGGATCAAATTACTGTCACACCCCCAATAGGAATTTACACAAGGCATTCCCTAAATCACTGTAAGTGTCATGAGCTGTCACAAAAATATGTTGAGTCTCCATCTGTGTCCTACAAGAAGGCATTTAAAGTATTTGGGAGTGGTGAGAGAAATGAACAGAATGCTAACCGTGTGCGCCTTCCATTGAGCTACCAAGTGTTCCTCAGTCCTCTCTCCATCCCTGCTCTCCAGCTCACTGCTGAGGTTCTGGACCAGGGATCTGATCTGCCCCAGGTCCGCCCACAGCTCCTTACAGCGGTTTGAATACTCGCTCTCAGAGTCCAGTGAGCTCTGGAGCTCTTCTTGAATCTCTACCAGCATTTGGCGTAACCTCTGCCAGGCCAGCCTTAACTCCTCCATCTCTTTTGTGATCTTCTCCGCACCTGCTGGAGACGTGTTGGCCTTCACCGCCTCAGACAACCTTTCAATGTGCTGGAGAGTGAGTTCTTCTTGGGCTATACTAGCATTCAGCTCCTGGGGGGAATAATGAATGAATTATGATTCATTGTACATATTCTTCATAATATATTTGAAATAAGGCATTCTTAACATGGCATAAGAAGTGGAATGTGATCAATAGCCAAAGATGACCATCTCGATGTGTACACAGACCATTAATTAAGAAATATTGCAGATAGAATATACAATGATTAACTCCATATATCATCATTGTTGTTATTGTTAAACAAAGCTACAACTAAATCTATTAAAAATAGTTTGCGCTAATTGAAATAAAGTTGACAAAATAAAGCAAATTTTAGATGAACAACTTGAAAGAAAATTAGAAATGCTGCCTAGGCAACTAACGGAATTACTAAACTTACTAAAACTAAAATAATTATAGAATAATATTTAAAATACAAATAATAATGACAAAAGGACATAACAAAATTACTAAAAACGTAAACTAAATTTAAAATGAAATATGAAAATATAAAAATAAAGCTAATTCAAAATATTAATAAATACTACAATAATTAATATGAAAATAACACTGTATAATCTACTATTATATTAAATTATAAAAATAATTAATATTAATAATTGTTCATTGTTTTATTATAACCACTATAAATACTACAGTTATACTATTATAACTATTAATAACTATACTTAAAGTTATTATAATTTTTTTAATCATTGTATTTTTGCCCAACATCAGTTGACACCATCAATTACCACTGTTCACATCTGCCAAACTCTAACAGCCATCATAAAAAAAAATAATAAAAAAAAGCAAAATGGCAGCAGCCTCAACAGTGAAAGTCAGGTCAAGTTTATTTGTATAGCAATTTTCAAAATACATATTGTTTCAAAGCAGCTTTACAGAAAATCACTCCTTAATCCCCCAGGGAGCAAACCAAACATGACTGTGGCAAAGAAAGAAGCCGCACAGGATAGAGGCAGTCAGGGAGATACCTTGACAAATTTTATTACCCTTGATTTTTTTGTTCTTCAATATTTCGAGAGAAAATAAATGTAATGATGAAGTATCTTCCTGTCAACAACAACAAAGTCATTGGTCCATTTTGGCATGGTGAACGTTGCTATGGAAACAAAGAATAAGTCCAAGGATGTGAACAGCTCAGAGAGGAATTTCTGAGCCGTCAGCTCAGTTTTATTAATTCTGTTGAGACCATTTATATTATAGGTGAGTATAATTTTCTTTGGGTGTTTGGAAATAGTAGTACTTCCTCATTATTCCTTCAAGTTCCTCAACACAGAAATAGTGTTTATTCATTATTATTAATGCTTATTAGTCGCTTTTGCATCTATGGTTGCAATGTTTTACTTAAATAAGATTCTGCATGTTTACATAGTACTAGATTTTACATAGTTTTAGACATAGTAATACGATTTTTCACACGCCCCCTTTAATACAGTAGCCCGAAATGAGAATGAGGATGCAAACTAGCAAGTACTCGGCTAAACTGGAATGACTTTGGCTTCCAAAGCAGGGATGATTTTCCCAGTTGATCATTCTGACTTCCCCTCCCCCAAATAAGTAGGTCAGTGTACCTGTAGGGCTTTCAGCCTGTTCTGTGTCGTATCCTCCATGTCACTGAAACGACTGACTTCTTCTGTTTTAGACATCAGCCAGGTTTGGAATTTATGATAGCCACTTTGGTATTGCTGGTGCTCCTCTGCTACTTTCTTTGCCAATGCCAACCTTTCCTGCAAATAAGTAATGCATTTCTATTAAAGTACAAAGTCATATCTTTGATACTACAGTTTTATTTTCAATTGTATAAACTCAATTAATTCTCCAGGTATGCATTAAGAAAGCCAACATTAATAGAGGTTAATTATAAATTACACACTACCATTCAAGGTTTTTTAAATAAACATAATACTTTTAGTTTAGTAAGGATGCATTAAATTGTACAAAAGTGACAGTAAAGATTTTTACATTGTAGCAAGGTTTCTATTTCAAATAAATGCTGTTCTTTTAACCCTCACGCACTCTTCGATTTCTGGTTACAGCCTGTATGGTCTGGGTCAAATTGACCCTAATTGGATTCAATTCAATTACCTAAAAATATTGGTCTTGGTGAGCAAAAGAAACTTCTTTCAAAACCATTTTAAAAATCTTACCGACCAAAAACTTTATGTAGACCCCTAATAATAGATTCTTCAATAATAACTATGGAAGATCAAAACAAGTTACAACCAGTCAGTGACAGCAGTGGAGAACTGAAGAACATTGTATCTTGAAACTAGATCTTTTGAATGACCTTCAAAAGTGGGTGTAAAAGACATGGAAGATTATAAGGCTGTTTTTAACTTATTTAACATGCTGAACAACCTTATGAAACATTAACAATATAATGCAGCTTCAAAGGTTTTCAAGTCCTAAAAATGCATCATTTTATTGTAAGAACAAATTGGATGCCATTAATTGCCTTAAAACATTCTGAAATGATTTAACACACATTTGTTCTGGTTGTCAGTAGGGGTGGGGGAAAAATCGATACTTAGAAGCATCGCGATGCGGACGATTCTCAATCGATTGACAAATGTCAAAAATCGATTTTCTAAATGTTTTTTTTTTCTCTTTTCTCTAATAACGTAATATTGACGGAACGCAAAAGGCGGATCTCTGAAGCGTGGACGTGCAGTGCCCGGCCAGTCTGTGGCGTGCACATAACAGAGACGCGCACATAAGAGACGCATGATGGCTGAGTGCGAAATTCGAACGGCACCCTCTTCGTTAAAAGCTAACGTATGGAAAATTGCATTGTGACCTATTTTGTATTTTTTGTATGAGAGCTGCTTTCTATATTGTTTAGTTTTAGACTGCCCTCCAGTCACAGTGTGTATCAGTGCAATGCCAGTCACAAAAAGTTACATTTTGACTGTGCTCTCTGCAGATGTTTATTCACTTTTTTTGTATAAGCTGTTTTTGATTGTGGTATACAGCAAACATTTCAAGTCATAACTCTTTAGTTGTGTATAAGAGCAGCTTTGTATGTTACCAATTATTCAGAATATGCGTAAATCCACAAGCATTATTTTTGTATGAGAGCTGCTGGTACATAATTCTATATTTTTGAACGAAAGCTGTATGTGAATTTGCTACAGCAAAATGTTTATTATTATTTTTTGTCTGGAGGATTATATTGCCCATTGCAAATAACAGGAGGATGTTGGTTAGAAGTTTATTATTAAATGCTAGAGATTCAGAATATGCTGAAGTTTGTATCCATTTACTACAAGTATGCTGCAAATTCAGGCTAATTCATGTTGGTTCTTTGCAATGTTGGGACATGTGCTGGCAAATGTAACCTTACAGTTGACTTGCCAAATCCCTTCCATTTGTTTTATTAATGAAATTGATATAGGACGTATTGGAAGTAAATTCTTTATGGGTCATCAAATACTTTGCTTTAAAAGTATCAAGTAGTCACATGTATGCATCGATAATCGTTACCCTCTGAATCATAATTGAATCGAATCGTGAGGTGCCTAGAGATTCCCACCCCTAGTTGTCAGTGATAACTAAACTCTTGAATTTTAATTATTGACCTGAACGGATGAAGGTTTACCTGTGCTCGGTCTCGAATGTGGTTGTAGGCATCTTGAAGACCTTGCTGAGCCTGCTCATTTACACTGGGGTCCTCGGTCCGGTTGAACAGGGCTGCAGCCTCATCCAGGAGCCTCTCCAGAAACAGGGCCTGGCCTTGGATGTCACTGTGAAGGACCTGCAGATGATCCACCTGCCACAGCTTCTCTTGGAGACCCAGCTGCATCTCAAGCAGGGGCTCCAGAGCCCTGTGCATCTTCTCCAGCCACATCCCAAACTCCTCATGGGCCTTTAGGTATTCACTCCAGTGCAGCCACACCCACTCGATACGACTATCAGAGGGGAACAAAAAAAAAAAATGAAATAAATAAATAATTATATATCCAATATTCTGATTGGTCATTCGTGGCATTCTGTGGTCAAATATTATTGTATAATGATGACTGCAAAACTAATGAACATAAAGATTACCTACATAGCTTTTAACTGTGTATGTATGTATATATACACAGACACGCACAAAAAACCAAACCCACAGACATATATGTAACATATACAGTATATAAATATAATAACACACACACATATATTATGTAAACAAAAACTTTTATGTTAATTATGTTACGTTGCCCTTAAGAATAATGTTTATTTTTTATTTTTATCCCTAGTCTTAAATGACAACTGAAAAAATATTATAAATTCTAATCGAAAATGGAGCAAAATAATTTGTGTAAAACTGAATGGTAATACGTTCTGATTGAAAATCATGTAAACGTAAAAGTTCCTACATCTGAGGTAAAAGAACCAAAAAGATCCACCAGAAATGGCCAATTCCCCCAATGGCTGTAGTAATATAGTAGCAAAAGTCATATTGCAAATTTCACCATATACAAATACTTTTTTAATATCCACCTTAATTTTCAGGTAAGAGCGGGCACAGCCATTTGTAATGGCAAATTGTGTCAGGCTTCCGGTGTCATTTGCTTCCAGTTACTTTTATCTGTACAAAACAGCTCGTTATACTGCTTGATATTGCAAACTGGTATTTCTTACCATATTATTTTAATGTAGTGTCCTTAATTATAAACACGCTGGTTTAATTATCATATACATTTTTTATGTATTTAAGTATTATCATATTTTGACTGACGATAGGAAGGTAGTTGGTGCAATGTGTATTGTATTGTGATTGTTGTACAGCACTTTGGTCGGCCAAAAGCCGGTAGTAAATGTGCTCTAGAAATAAACGAACTTGAACTTGTAGCAAAAACAGTTTTACAGTTTACTGCACTTTGATATATTTTTCTCGTTATTTCCCTATAGCAGCTAATAAATCGAAAGTCTCACACATTCACAGAAAACGCCTTACTTCCGCGTTGAAAAATATGGTGGATAGGAAGACATTTTTATGATTGGTGATATGATTTGTCAACCTATGGACAAAATCTGTACCTGTGACAGTGAATGATGTAGGTTAACGTCTCCTCCCAGAGCGCTTTCAGATCTTTGAGTTTCGAATGAGTCTGATTCTTCATTTCTTCATCTCCATTTCGAAGCAGAGCTTCAGAAGCCACAAGCACCCTGTCCATCTTCACATGGCCATCAGGCTCTGAGCTATGGATTTTCTTTACAACAAAGAAAAGTCATGCTTAATGGAACATTTAAACCGATGAGATTATGTACAATTTATCTCTGTGAAATAGAGCAGCACGATTCTGGATAAATTGACAACTATGATTTTGTTCAAAAAAGAGATCATGATTCTCCCACAATTCTGAATAAACAACAAAATAACAGAGGTTCTGACCAAATGTTATTTGTTGTAATCTATTTAAAATATCTAAAATAATGTGAATTATTTATTTATATATGATATATGTTTTAATCGGTTTGAATGGATGATTCAATGACTCACTAATACAAACTTTATTTGTTTCATTACTGGATGAACCAGTGTTTTTTAATTAACTCTTTAGTGAAAGATTCAATGACAAATACATTTCTTAACAGTCACTTGTCGCCACCTACTGGTGTAACGATGTAATACAGTCTTCATTTGAACCGTCAAGCTACTTTCAAAAGGTGATTTACTCTATTTTGATTGCTACTGTAGGCTTTTATCCCAGTACTTCTGTAATGATTTTAATTATTGTAACAGAAATATCGATAGTGGCATAGTGTGGTTGGAAAAAAGTATGTTTGTGAAGCGGTTTCATACCTATACATGACAACTGCACTCTCTGCAGCAGCGCCATGCAGATCTGAAAGATCACTATGATCGTACTTGTCAAAGATTTTAATAGACATAGCTGAATCATTGTCATTTAGGAATAAGATCACGAGGGTGTTTGAATCGAGATCCCAATTTTTTAACGATTAGCGTAATCGTGCAGCTGTAATGTGAAACGATCACAATAGCTTCATTAGCAAATATGAGACACATTTGAGAAACTGAAATGGTTCTATTTGAGTACTACCATGCTCTAAATAGGTTAAAGGTCAAGGGAGGTCTCACCTCTGTCTCTCTGAGCCTGACCTCCAGCGCTGATCTGGGCCCTTGGGTGTTATCATTTTGTTTAAGCCTCTCCTGGACGGCCTGCATCCAGGACAGGGCTTCCTCCAAACATTCCTTGAATTCATGCTGCTCTTGCTGGGTCATTAGGTTTAGGCTGACCTAATGCAAAAACATAGGGTTCATATTATAAAATACATGTATGTCTTCTTCACCCTTTAAAGTGACACTGGTAAAGCCATGCCAAGTCATTGATTTGATTCCTAGAAAACAAATATACTGAAAAACTGCATACTTAGACCAACTAAGTGACTTTGGATAAAAGGGTCTGTCAAATATATAAATATAAAATATTTACAGTTAAGGAATTTCTCTTAAAAAAAAAAATCAAAAATTGTAACCATAATTTCTGCTAAAATGCATTGTAAATAACACTGCAATAAAACTGCCATCTAAAAATAAAATAAAGTAAGAGTAACGATTGTGGCAGGATCTTACACTGTTGGAAGGAGATCCCCTATAAATGTAGGCTATAGAACAAACAAACTGTAGTAGTAATTATAGGAATTTGGCGGGTTTGCTTTGCTCACAAATGGTGATAGTTCATGAATCACGCCTGGCAGCTGGTTCTTTGTACCAAACACCTTTTGGGCGCCATACAATGTAACCACTTCACTTAACCACTCCACCCTACAGCACAATGTTTCCGCCAAACCCTGTCCATCAGCAATGCCGCATAACTTTTCTTAGGGGGGACAAAACACAGTTCCTTGTGGCTACATATGTTCTTTCAAAACAAGAGACTGAATTAAAAGCAAAGCCAAATGTCTTCTTTTTTCTTCTTTACAGAGGGCGCCCTAAAACGGATTACAAGCTACTTTCCTGTATGAGTCATATCTCCCACAGCATTCCCTTCTCTGGCATACCCATAACCCTTTTCATATGAAAATACACAAACAATACATTTGGAGCACACTGTAATCCCCTGACTAGTGCCTTGGTTTTCAACCAATTTAGGGGTCTTGAAGGTTATGCAGTAGAAACGTGAAAAAACATACAAATAAAAAAATATCTATAACTGTTACATACATTTTGGGCATGTATAGAATATATATTTACCAATATTTATTCTATACACAATATATATATATATATATATATATATATTTTTTTTTTTTTCTCTCTGAATAGGGGATCTCTAGCTTTGTAAAGTTTGTCAACTACACTGAAAATTATAGTCCAATGGTTAAATACATGGCTCAAATAACAGAACCATCATTTAATTAAACCATTTGTCCACTTTTAACATGTTATAAACATAAACGGATAATCATGGTACAAGTCACAACCAAAACAACCACATGCCCTCTTTTACACGATAATGCATTTGAATAAAAGAAGCAGTTGAAGGTCTATTCTCTGCCTGAGTCTGAATTTAACATAAATTCAACCTTAAAGTCAGATACAATTCAGTGTAACAGCAAAATATAGAGGATTACTGCCTCGACTGAACCATGCAGACACAGTTAAGTGCATTAAATCCCACAGTGTCACACTTTTGAAGCTGTCAACTTTGTGTTTAGAAAGTAACACAGCACAGCAATGCAGCTAATTTATACTGAAATAACGGCGTATTCAGAGCTTAAATAATCGATAAAGTGGTAGTACTTACGGATATATGTGCATCTGATGCGAGTATTTATGATAAGAAATGACCTTAAGTTGTTCTTCGAGCTACAAAGTTACTGTGATCCGTCAGGAAGTCAATGCAGGCCTGTCCGTTGCTTGGGCTGGTCGAGGAGGAGATTAGGCAGGCAGAAGCAGCACATCCGCTGAGTAACTGATGAGCGCGCACGTCACTGCGCGCCGGAATTAATCAAAAAAAAAAAAAAAGAGCGGGCTTTACTGACCGTAACAGGGCTGGCGAAAATAAGTAAATAAATAAACAAAAACAAAAACAAAAACATTTGTTTGTATAATAAAATTCTAAATAATTAATGAAACATAGATATATAATAAAAAATAAATAAACCACTCACTAATTCTTCCATACTCTTCCATACTATGATGGATAGATGCACTTTTATGATGGGTAGATGCACTTTTATGGACTTCAAAACAGAAACGGCCATTCATTGCCATTATAAAGCTGGGAAGAGCCAGGACATTTTTAATATAACTCCGACTGTATTCGTCTGAAAGAAGAATGCCATATACACCTATAGGATGACTTGAGGGTGTAAATCATGGGCTAATTTTAATTTTTGGATGAACTATCCCTTTAATCAATTATTAAATAAATAAACGGTAAAATTAAATTACGGTTGTTATTATTATTATTATCATCAGTTAAAATGACAGAAAACAGAAAACAGTTTTTTTGGTTTAACAAATGCTTTTATTATAACAAACTTGAAACCATTTGTTTGTTTTGTTTATTCAAATTTCAATGAAACATGTCTAATCAACTAAATTCAATAACTTATCATTAGATTAACAACTATTTGCATGATGAATAATTTATTAAAATATTTAAGAATAATAGAGTCCTATGAAATGTATTTTATAGAAAATTAATGTTTCTTTTTATGATTTAATAAAAATATATGATCAAAAACGGTCGTAATCAAATGAAAATGTAAACTTTTATCCTTTTTATTTTTGGGGGAAGTTCTGCAAAACAGATTTACTAAATTAAACCATGGACAAAAATGTATTCCTTAAATAATGTTTAAATAAATTGTATTAATATTAATATTACATATTATTTTGCTATTATTCAGCGACTGTTTTAGAAATTATTGACAGTTGTATATGTGATAATGTTTCATATGATATTTGCTTGTAGGGGATATCTGCAAGATATCTCTGATGTTATAATGTTTGGAGTAATGTATTTGGTGATGTAAACATTGTTACATGTATGTCCTGTGTTTCCCCCGTTCTTTGCGTATTTGGTTCAGTCCTGTTTCCAGTTTCCCGCTCCTCGTTAGTGTTTCGTTTATTCACCTGTGTCTAGTTCATTTGCCCCAGCTGTGCCTTGTTTCCCTAATCTGTTCTCTGTGTATGTAAACCCTGTGTTCTCCCTCACTCCTTGTCGGTTCTCGTTCTTATGTACGTTTGTGTATGGTGTGTTACTGTCCCCCGTGATCCTTGTTTTGTTATTTAGTAAAGTATATTTGAATTGGACCTGTTGACTGCTGCTTCTCCTTCAACCTGCACCACACCCGTAACAGAAGAACCGACCAAAAAGGAAAAGGAAAAAAAGAAGAGGAAGATGGAGATCTGGGAGCTCGCGGGACAGATCACGGCTTTGGCGCTGGATAGCCGTGATCTGTTCCACTTTACCTGGGGCTTTGTTCCACTCGCTGCCTCCTGCTCGCTGGGCGATGAGATAATCAAGGCGTGTTACCGGCGAGGGGCCAAGGTGGTCGACCCAAGGGAACTTCCAGATCTCTCTGGTCTGGACTGGAGAGAGGCACTCTCCAGATGTCTGGAGAGCTTTCTCCCATGGCACGCCGTGTCCGCACCGCTGGTTCCGTCCAGCCCAGCCAAGCCCGCACCGCTGGTTCCGTCCAGCCCAGCCAAGCCCGCACCGCTGGTTCCGTCCAGCCCAGCCGAGCCTTCACAGCTAGTTCCGTCCAGCCCAGCCGAGCCTTCACAGCTGGTCACGTCCAGCCCTGCCGAGCCTGAGCTTCCCTGCAGCCCTGCCGAGCCTGAGCTTCCCTGCAGCCCTGCCGAGCCAGAGCTTCCCTGCAGCCCTGCCGAGCCTGAGCTTCCCTGCAGCCCTGCCGAGCCTGAGCTTCCCTGCAGCCCTGCCGAGCCTGAGCTTCCCTGCAGCCCTGCCGAGCCTGAGCTTCCCTGCAGCCCTGCCGAGCCTGAGCTTCCCTGCAGCCCTGCCGAGCCTGAGCTTCCCTGCAGCCCTGCCGAGCCTGAGCTTCCCTGCAGCCCTGCCGAGCCTGAGCTTCCCTGCAGCCCTGCCGAGCCTGAGCTTCCCTGCAGCCCTGCCGAGCCTGAGCTTCCCTGCAGCCCTGCCGAGCCTGAGCTTCCCTGCAGCCCTGCCGAGCCTGAGCTTCCCTGCAGCCCTGCCGAGCCTGAGCTTCCCTGCAGCCCTGCCGAGCCTGAGCTTCCCTGCAGCCCTGCCGAGCCTGAGCTTCCCTGCAGCCCTGCCGAGCCTGAGCTTCCCTGCAGCCCTGCCGAGCCTGAGCTTCCCTGCAGCCCTGCCGAGCCTGAGCTTCCCTGCAGCCCTGCCGAGCCTGAGCTTCCCTGCAGCCCTGCCGAGCCTGAGCTTCCCTGCAGCCCTGCCGAGCCTGAGCTTCCCTGCAGCCCTGCCGAGCCTGAGCTTCCCTGCAGCCCTGCCGAGCCTGAGCTTCCCTGCAGCCCTGCCGAGCCTGAGCTTCCCTGCAGCCCTGCCGAGCCTGAGCTTCCCTGCAGCCCTGCCGAGCCTGAGCTTCCCTGCAGCCCTGCCGAGCCTGAGCTTCCCTGCAGCCCTGCCGAGCCTGAGCTTCCCTGCAGCCCTGCCGAGCCTGAGCTTCCCTGCAGCCCTGCCGAGCCTGAGCTTCCCTGCAGCCCTGCCGAGCCGGAGCTTCCCCGCACGCCTGCCGAGCCGGAGCTTCCCCGCGCGCCTGCCGAGCCAGAGCCTTCTCCGCTGGTCCCGTCCAGTCCTCCCGAGCCTTCTCCGCTGGTCCCGTCCAGTCCTCCCGAGCCTTCTCCGCTGGTCCCGTCCAGTTCCCCCAAGCCTGTCTCTGAACCCGTCACTCCCCCCCAAGAAAATTTTGGGGGGGGGATATAAGCCACCCGAGGGACAGTCTCCACCCTGGCCACCTGAAGTGGCCTCTCCACCCTGGCCACCTGAAGTGGCCTCTCCACCCTGGCCACCTGAAGTGGCCTCTCCACCCTGGCCACCCGAGGGAAAGTCTCCACCCTGGCCACCCGAGGGAAAGTCTCCGCCCTGGCCTCCTGCACGTCCTGCTCCGCCCTGGCCTCCTGCACGTCCTGCTCCGCCCTGGCCTCCTGCATGTCCTGCTCCGCCCTGGAGGCTTCCTGCTCCGGGTAGGCCACTCCCTCGTCAGCCTCCAGGGCGCCCACCCCCCCACCCTTATTGATGTTACTCGGCGCGAGGACGCGCCTTGCAGGAGGGGGAGCTAATGTTACATGTATGTCCTGTGTTTCCCCCGTTCTTTGTGTATTTGGTTCAGTCCTGTTTCCAGTTTCCCGCTCCTCGTTAGTGTTTCGTTTATTCACCTGTGTCTAGTTCATTTGCCCCAGCTGTGCCTTGTTTCCCTAATCTGTTCTCTGTGTATGTAAACCCTGTGTTCTCCCTCACTCCTTGTCGGTTCTCGTTCGTATGTACGTTTGTGTATGGTGTGTTACTGTCCCCCGTGATCCTTGTTTTGTTATTTAGTAAAGTATATTTGAATTGGACCTGTTGACTGCTGCTTCTCCTTCAACCTGCACCACACCCGTAACAAACATTAGGCTACTGGATATTAATTGTGAATTGTTTTGTGTTTACAGTTTGGCCACATACATAAATGTGCACAATACTCCCAACTACAACTAAATTACAACAAAAAACTTAATGTGTAGCCTACATTGTGAGTTCTGCACAAGAGGAATAAAAGACAAAAAACAAGATCCAATTTAATGTTATCATAGTATGGGTAACATTGAATATCTATCCTCCTGGACAACCACGCGTTTTTTCTACATCCAAAGTATTCTCATATCAATCAACAGTAGTTACCAGAGCGCGATTTCTTTCCCCCTTGTAATTTTTATTTATTTATTTTTTACTCAGTAATGATTTAAAATGTAGTGAAGTACAATCCTTTAAACAAAACGTACTTTAGTAAAAGTATATTACAGATTTTAAAAACTACTAAAAGTAGAAATACACACAAAAAACTACTCGATTACGTAACGCGAGTACCGGTAAATGTAATTCGTTACTTTCCACCTCTGCATAATGAGTGAAATATTTATTATAAATATTACATATCTACCATTACTTCAACGAATGAATAAATTCAGACTATATAGGATGGTTTCAAACTAATTTTCAACCCATCTATTAAATTATCACTATTAAAAAGAAAATGATCAAATAACCATACAAATTAAATGTTTTAGCTTTTTGTTTATATGGACCCATTGAGGCAAATAATCTATTAATTCCAGTTTATTCCCTCAAACGTGTTATTAGAAGACTAGAAAAAGACAGCTCTACTGCTTAAAATGACTAAATGAAAAAAAAAAACCCAGCCATTTGACATTGTTGAACTCAAAGAAAAAGGACATTCAGGATAAAGGCTCCCTTTAATATCACATTTGTATATGCTTTCAAAAACATCTCATGGTGTTGAGCAGGGACTCAGCTGTGAAACCTTACTATATTTAAAAAAAAAAAAATCTGCCTTCTGTCAGGACACAGTAGTGATTATTTTTTTATTGAGTTATCATAGGACAGGTGATTTTAGGGGTACTGAGTGATAATGTAATGCAACATAACTAACAATAAGCTTCACCTTTATACATTTTAAAAAATACAAAATACGTTTAGATCTATACATATATATAATTTTACATTGCACCTTTTTTCTGGTCAACACATATTACATTCTTAACTTTTCAACAATTACAGAAACATCTTATGGAGTGGAACTGACTTCATAGATTCAATGATTTGGTAATACCTTCAAATATAAATACAAACTTCAAGCACATATACGTACTGTAGTTCACAGCATTTTCATTTACAGCAACAGGTGTTTTGAAAATTTGGCATGTGATGCCTGTATGTGTACTAATGTGCACTAAAATTGTCCCACCAAAATTAACCATCACCTTCATTGTTTAACGTTGCACATAAGGCAGTTTCAAGTTGTATTCAAGACCATTTCATCACAAACTAACCTTTAGCCTGCACTGACTGCCTCCATGAACAAGCTTTGCACTCAACTCTTGTAAGGTATCATGGCAAGTTCAGGTTGGAGTATAACTGATATAAAATATAAGTACAATAAATAAAACTAACATGCATACAGATGAACCACAGTAAAGACATACCGATTTATTTTGCATGAAAAATATAATGGTATCAAATACACACACACACACACACACACACACACACACACACACACACACACACACACACACACACACACACACACACACACACACACACACACACACACACACACACACACACACACACACACACACACACACACACACACACACACACACTCCACTTAACACGCACATCCAAACAAACCTCAAACTGAAAGGAGATTCTTTCTCGTTACTAGTAATTACTATATATTAACATGAGTGATTGCTAGCATAAACAAACGGCCTTGCCTAAATGAAATAAAACTGGACATTGTGCAGATGAGCAAATAAATAGACTTAAAGGTTTACAAAATAATTTTAAGTTAGTGTTAATTCATTACATTTAATTTATTAACCACTGCCACTTTACATCGGAACAGTTTCATTTGTTATTTGTTTCTGTCCTGTTCCTTTTTGTAGTTTTTTTTGTCTGATGACAACATTCTTGTTGAGTTGTATCTTTATATTGTATTTGGTTTGTTTTATATGGCCTTTTTGATTCTTTTTGTAAAGCACCTTGAGCACTGTCAAAATTATGTATAAATCTTTGCTACATAAATAAATATATATAAACGTATTAAATTGCAAAAATTGCACAAAACAGATGGTCATGTGATCTAAACATGGCGGCTCCCATGAGGGTGCAACCCACCTTATGTAGAAGAAAAAAAACAGGATTTTCTAGGCCAATGATATGACTGGATCTCTTGACTATTCTTTCAACATATCTGTTAAAAGTACTTTTTTTTTTTTTTTATAAAAAGTAAAAGTGGAAAAAATTATTTAGTACACATTTAAAAGAGTTGCTAAAATCAGACTTTCTTGCTCTGTACATACCATACCGTTAATAGACCAATGACGCAAACATGAAGAGAAAACACAAGCCCGTACAAAAGTCTGATAAACGTTTTACAGTTAATTTGTCATAAACCTCAAAAGGCCTATACAAAGCACTCAACCATATTTCTCTCTGCATTTCGCCAGTCTTTTTGCGTATGAAAGTGACAAAGGTAACTGCAGTTTGGTATCGCATGAGCCAATGTTTGATGTGCATCAAAAAGTCAGAAGGATGGTTGTGTAAACCTCCAAAAGTCTTAAAGAGTGTAAGATGCTGGAGAACGATCAGCAGTACACCGACCAGTATATGAGGTTGAAAACTATATAGGCTCCCGGGAAGATCATGCGGGAGTACTTATCAATGGCATGCGTGTTCTGCATAATGCGGAAGGCGCGGATGCCCTTTTTCTTAGTGGCGGTGGACTCGCTGCTCATTGACAGGTGAACCACCATATGTTCCTGTTTCTCCGGCACCAATTCTTCGTGAACCATGGGAGCCTCTGTGTAGCCAGCCAAGCTGTTGGCGTCAGCCTCACTGTAGGTCCCATCCAACATCATGGTCCTGGTGTGGGACATACCGCAGGTGCATGGCAATGACTGGAACATGTTGAGTTGGGCACCCAGAGAGAACAGAAAACAAAGAGAGCGAAGAGATCATTAACAAGGGCAAATTATCAGTTGGCATTAATAAATCAGGTAGCCACTCAAAAAGTTGGCCACTATAAAGAAGGGCCTCTTAAAAAATAGCCAATAGCCTTTTAACATAAGTAGTTAGTATACACTCACCTAAAGGATTTTTAGGAACACCTGTTCAATTTCTCATTAATGCAATTATCTAATCAACCAATCACATGGCAGTTGCTTCAAAGCATTTAGGGGTGTGGTCCTGGTCAAGACAATCTCCTGAACTCCAAACTGAATGTCAGAATGGGAAAGAAAGGTGATTTAAGCTATTTTGAGCGTGGCATGGTTGTTGGTGCCAGACGGGCCGGTCTGAGTATTTCACAATCTGCTTAGTTACTGGGATTTTCACGCACAACCATTTCTAGGGTTTACAAAGAATGGTGTGAAAAGGGGAAAACATCCAGTATGCGGCAGTCCTGTGGGCGAAAATGCCTTGTTGATGCTAGAGGTCAGAGGAGAATGGGCCGACTGATTCAAGCTGATAGAAGAGCAACTTTGACTGAAATAACCACTCGTTACAACCGAGGTATGCAGCAAAGCATTTGTGAAGCCACAACACGCACAACCTTGAGGCGGATGGGCTACAACAGCAGAAGACCCCACCGGGTACCACTCATCTCCACTACAAATACGAAAAAGAGGCTACAATTTGCAAGAGCTCATCAAAATTGGACAGTTGAAGACTGGAAAAATGTTGCCTGGTCTGATGAGTCTCGATTTCTGTTGAGACATTCAGATGGTAGAGTCAGAATTTGGCGTAAACAGAATGAGAACATGGATCCATCATGCCATGTTACCACTGTGCAGGCTGGTGGTGGTGGTGTAATGGTGTGGGGGATGTTTTTTTGGCACACTTTAGGCCCCTTAGTGCCAATTGGGCATCGTTTAAATGCCACGGCCTACCTGAGCATTGTTTTTGACCATGTCCATCCCTTTATGGCCACCATATACCCATCCTCTGATGGCTACTTCCAGCAGGATAATGCCACAAAGCTCGAATCATTTCAAATTGGTTTCTTGAACATGACAATGAGTTCACTGTACTAAAATGGCCCCCACACTCACCAGATCTCAACCCAATAGAGCATCTTTGGGATGTGGTGGAATGGGAGCTTCGTGCCCTGGATGTGCATCCCACAAATCTCCATCAACTGCAAGATGCTATCCTATCAATATGGGCCAATATTTCTAAAGAATGCTTTCAGCACCTTGTTGAATCAATGCCACGTAGAATTAAGGCAGTTCTGAAGGCGAAAAGGGGTCAAACACAGTATTAGTATGGTGTTCCTAATAATCCTTTAGGTGAGTGTACAGTATGTATACAGCTCACCGTAGGCAATATTTCTGTATGCATAGAAATACCTTTAAAAAGTGCAGTATACAGCACAACCAGTGCACACTGTGTGAAATAGAAAATCCCACAATGCAATGCGATTGAGTTGACTTTCCATTCATGGCTAAGTCAGAAGTAATATCCACACAATCATTTGTGTTTTGATATTTGATTGGAATAGAAAAAGTTAAGTGTTTATGTGCAAGATGGTCACGACAACAAAGTAGCGGATTACAGTTGGAAAATATTGCATAATATATATATTTTAAAATAGTAGCCATTGTGTAATTAATAGTATGCTAGAGTTCAAATATCAATTCTAAACATTGTGGCTATGGAATAGACCTTATTTAGAGCAGCGCCATGACAAGTATGAAAGCGAGGCTGTGAGGGATAGACTTAACGTGTTTTCAATGACATCCGCTGTATAAAGCTCCTAGATCACTTATAATTTTCCACAGCTCATGTTGGTCTACTGAAACTTCTTGGAAATATATTTTTGCAGTGTTTCGTCAGCAGAACAACCCAAGAACACATTAAATACAACTTACTGAAATACAACTTACTGAATGTCTATTCCTCACAACCTCGCTTTCAGTCCCGTTAAAAATCAAACGTGGCACTGCTGTGAATAAGGTCTATTGCATACTGCCATACATTTTTTTGTACCCAAATTACTGGCAGAGCAAAACAATAGTATAAAAAGAGTATGCCGTGTTCTGTACTGTATCCCACAATGCATTGTTCTCGACTTTCATTTCCATTTTGATGAATGAACCTGTAGTCATTTCAGCTGTGTTTTTAAACAGCTCTTAAAATCTTTCTAGACTCATTATTTGATTGGATTGCTAAAGGTGAAGACATTTTATAAGCATACTTAAATAATCCAAATAACCATATTTATTTCCGAGATAATAAAGCTCCACGAACCAAATCAAATATGCAATATGACAAGGTCATGTGACAACAGTCTATTTTTAGGTGTATGTTAACAGATAGATTACACTCAAAACTAACAAACAAAGACTAAGAGCCACAACACTCTACGTATTTCATGTCATGGGTTCTTTAAAAAAATAATGCATCCATAATTGAAAATAGATGTTCATAAATTCCGATTTTTTTACCTGCTCTTGAGCTGCTCGATTTCTGAGCTTACGCTCTCTCCTCTCCTGGACCGTGGTCAGGTAGTTGACTGCCGCATACTCCAAGACGGACAGGAACACAAATACAAAACTGACCCACAGGTAAATGTCCACAGCTTTGATGTAGGAGACTCTGGGCATGGAGGCGTTCACCCCTGTGATGATGGTGGACATGGTGAGCACCGTGGTGATACCTGGATAAAATCACCACATCCTGTTAACATCTGCAGGTGCGTGACACGACATAGGAAGCAGCAGTGACGCCCGAGGCCAAAATGCTGATTTGTGATAATCTTACCTAATGAAACTCTGGCTGGAACAGCCCTGCGATCAATCCAGAACGACACCCAGGACAACATAACCATAAGCGTGGCAGGGAAATAAGTCTGCAGCAGGAAGAAGAAGATGTGGCGGCGAAGCGTGAAGTTTATGTACAGGCGGTTGTACCATCCTGAAGAGAGAAAGATAAAAATGCAGATGGATGATCGAGCTCCAAAACATTTCAGCCACACTTAAAAACAAATTTCATTGGATTAAATAAAATATAGTGACATTTACACTTCTGTTCAAAAGTTTGGGGTTGGTAAGTGTTTCCATGTTTTTGGAAGAAGTCTCTAAATGCCTGCTACAGACTGTGCGATTTCAGCAACCTTATAAGATCATTACAAATCACACTATACGACATGGAACTAATAAACTTGGGTACGACATGTATGTAGACTGTACGATGGTGACACCTATTGAATCGTAGGCTACGACGCAAGTTAGTATAGAAGAATAAAAAGTCATCAGCATGCGCTCGTGGTAAACAAATAGAGCAAGTTTTGGAAGTTCCAAAACAGCTTGCCAAAGCGAAATTTGCGGAAAAGTTGGCTCTGATTGGTAAACACCTTCGAACTAGCATTGGTCTGTGGCAATAACATAACAGGTAGGTGTGCTCTGAGGCTCCGCCTTCTTTGACAGAACTTATCGGTTAATTTCCTCTGTTCAGTACATCCAGGACAGACGTCCATCACGCGTAAGACGCAGATACACTGTAGTGCTGCTTTATAGTAGAAATTGAAGTTGCAGTCCTAATTGAAAGAGACACTGACATTGTTTGTTCATGTTTAAAACTGTCAAAGTGTTTGCTTTTAAGCAATCTATTGTATAAAGCACTATAAAAACGTGACTTTGCTGGAGTGCAGAAATGGAAAGCTACAATCAGATGCTTTCTTAACTGCTGTCATTTTTGTTGTTTATTTTGTTATTAAAAAATGAAAGCGCGCAACACATATTTACATATTCATCTAAATGTCGCTCTAAGCAGTGTAGGTGGCGTTGGGATGTTTGCTAACAGTATATTGATGTTCTCGTATTTCAAACAAAAAGGACTTCACCGTGAGTATATCGGTGCCTTTATGCTCACCAAGGCTACATTTATTTGATCAAAAATACAGTAAGACCAGTACTGTGAAATACTATTACAATTTAAAATAACTGTTTTCTATTTGAATATATTTTAAAATATCATTTAAAGGGGTCATATAATGATACATGCACTTTTTCAAGTTGATTGTACTGAAATGTGTGTTGGCAGTGCCTGTACACAACCATCATATAATGATAAAAATCCATCCAGTGCTTTTGTTTTAATCTCCTTATATGTTTTCCCCTGCCTCAAATCAAGCCGTTCGTGACGTCACACGGTCGGAAGCCCCTCCCACGATTGTTGATTGACAGCCGGGTTTCAACACAGACCCGCCCTCGCTCATGAGGGAGCTGTCAATCATAGTCTGCGCGGACCGGCGCGGTCATTGTTGATATGCTGGAGCACTGTCTATGAGCAGAATGGCGTCTAAGCGATTGTGGTGTTCTGTTCTTGGGTGTAATAACGAACACAGTCATTTTGATGTTCCTAAATCCGAACTGCTGAAGACGCAGTGGCTGAGTTTGTTTTCGAAGGGAATATTCCCCACGAGCAACGTCAATGTTCTCTTCGCGCGAATCATTTCACACACCAGACTGCTTTATAAACGAGGGTCAGTATAAAGCTAGTTTTGCTAAGAAGCTGCTCCTGAATAAAGGATCGGTACCAGCTATTCGTGTTCCTGCTGAACCTCTAGAACAACTGAAGTGAGTGTAACGTTTTATTAAACTTTATATTAATATTTATATCTTTGCAAATCGCTTGCACGCTTCACGATGAATGAGTCTAAGGTTTACACTCAGGGTACATTACTGGATGTTTTCTATGTACGACGTTCTCAATTTAATTCATAATCCCACGTTTATAATGAACAACGCGTTGTATGTACGCATAGAACAGAGGGGTGGGGTGAGCAAAGCTCATTATCATTTAAAGTCATATGCACTGAAACGGCGTGCTGAAAACAGAGCTGTTTTTGACCAGGTAAAATAACTTACAGTTTTCTTACAATACTAATGAGAATTTTTAATTAAAGTATATTACAAACTTTTAATTTAGACCCTAAAGAATCATATTAGCTTGTACAAAAATGGCATTATATGACCCCTTTAATCCTTTCTGAGTTTTCAGCATCATTACTCCAGTCTTCAGTGTCATGATCCTTCAGAAATCATTCTAATATGCTGATTTGGTGCTCAAGAGACATTTCTGATTATTTTCAATGTTGAAAACAGTTGTGCTGCTTAATATATTAGAAAACATGATTCCTTTTTTTAAGGTTTTTTTATTAATAGAACCGCATTCATTTGAGATAGAAATATTTTCCAACATCATTAATGTCTTTAATGTCTCTCTCTCTCTCTCTATATATATATATATATATATATATATACAGTGTATATATATATATATATATATATATATATATATTATACATAAATCTTAAGCTTTTGAACAGTAGTGTATTTTAAAGCAAGACAGCACAAGCACACTTTTCAAGCTAAATATTTCACAAAAATATATTTGTTAGGTTGTAAATGATAAAAAAAATGATTATAAAAGTTATTTTGGAGGAAAGCTGGCATAATTTGCTTGCAGATGCCACTTGCTTTGATATTTAATGTAATAACATTCCTACACTTTTAAGTGTGACTTAAGTGTCCAAATCCTTCTTGGGGCCACATTTATTTGAAATAAATCAACTTAACAAATAATCCCCAGATACCTGTGCTGCTGTAGAAAGCCAGCCGAGAGGTAGTGTGAAACTTCTGTATGAGGAACTGAGAGAGAGAGATTTTTTCATCTATACTCAAAGACTCATCTCCACTTTTCCAGTACAGCATCAGATCCTCATCTGTGTAGGCGTCTAGAAAAAAAAGGATCCAATTCAGGAAAAACTAACTTGGCAAAGTGGATTGAGCATGTGCCACACTAAAAATAACACAAATTAGTGATTCACTCACAACTCTCCAACTCCAAAGTGCAGGTCTGTGAATCCAGTGGGAAACGGCTGAAGTCCATGTTGCAGGCTGCTGTAACTGTGACCCTGGGCATAAGGACCATGCATAACATGAATGAAAATACAGAAACGCACCGTCTTAGATCTTTATATTTCATCATATTTCTCACAGACTTCAGTTTTCGAAGCCAAAATCCATGGAATTTTCATTTGCAGTTACAAGGGAGGTGGAACCTGTATTGATAATTCACTCAAAAATGGAAAATTCAGTCATCATATACTTACCCTCATGCCCAAACCTGTATAAGTTTCGGTCCCACTTTATATCAAGTATCTGACTATAACTACTATGTACTAAGATTTAAATGAATAATTTGATAGAATGCACTTATTGTGTCCATACATGTTTTTACATTGTACTTATATATTAAAAATGCCTGTATATAATAACATGTTATTAATATCTGTAATTATATCCATAATTACACTGTTGACCTATCCCTTAACCAACCATTAAACCTAACCATACCACCAAACCTGTCTCTAACCTTACCAGTATCTCACCTCAATAGAAGCAAAAGTGTTTTGCAAAGACACACACACACACACACACACACACACTCATATATAGATACATACATATACACACGAACATATTATATAAACACAAACTTTTAAGTTAGATACGATTAATCGTTTTAATGCCCTATAAAAGACCATCTTGAACATTCTGCTAAGCATCTCCTTTTGTGTTCCACAAAAAGAGAAAATCTTGGGCTCTAGTAATAAAGCTTCTGCTAAGAATAAAAATGTAAATGTGATGTAAATGTGCTTAGTAATGCTAGTCAAGAACGGCATACTAGCGGCATTACTGAACTGGCACTAAGGCCATCTCATTTGTCTCTCAGTATTTCTCTCCTCTGTTCTCTGTAGCGGTGTCCATCATTTGACGGACAATGGAAATAATCTGGGCCAGTCCCATCAATTATGACACTTTCCCTGGAGCCAGAACAGTATCTGAAATTTGACTTTGAACTCAGCGCTAGCCCTTGATTATAGCCTGCACGCAGGTAGCTTGGCCTAATTTTTAACTCGCAGCACAAAAGACGGGGCAAAAACATCACAGGCCAGAAGCATCATTCTAATTTTAACACCACAGCAATATGCAAATGCAAATGCTTAAGCCCAGCGACGTGCTTTTGTTTTCAAACCACATTTTATTTAAATGAAACCAACGGCAGTAGTTGAGTTGCTTGGAGGTGAAATGTAGTAACTGCTGAACAAATGAAAAAATATTAACTTTTTCTTACATTGTACAAAATAAACACGAATAATAAATATGTATACGTACATTTACATAAATACATTTAAACTCTATACATATATACATAACTTACATATAATTGGAATTATAATGGCACACTTAAAATTCAGAAATGCTAGTGTTGATAATCTGCTTTTTTACCTCAGGCTGTAGAGAACGTGGCCATCAGGGAACACTCTCAGCATGATATTTTCTGTGGTGGTGTCATGAATAAAAGATCTTTTAGAGTGGACGAAGAAGACATCAGGAACCCAGATCTTCTTCACCAAGCGGCCGTCGAAAGTCATGCTTTTATTTGTGGTGCTGGCGAAGGACAAGCGCTCATCCTTCCAGTAGTGTCTCAGGTATAATGTCATAGTAAAGTCCTACACAAATGGAGGAAAAGAGATTGTGGGAGTTTTCACAATATTCAGTCACAACAACGATCTTTACAGGAGGCTGTATCATCCTTGTTTTTTGAACATGTACAAAGGAGATTTTTTAAATTTTGGGGTTGGTAAGATATGTATTTTGACAAATTAATACTTTTATTCAAGAAGGACACATTAAATTGATCAAAGGTGACATTTTCAAATGTCACAAATAATTGCGGTTATTTTGAACTTTCTATTCATCAATTGTGAAAAAAATACTAAAGAATTGTTTCCTGAGCAGCATATCAGAATGATTCTGAAGGATCGTGAGACTGAAGATTGGAGTAATGATGCTGAAAATTTAAAAAAAAAGACTGTACTGCTGTTTTTACTGTATTTTTGATTAAATCTTGGAGAGCAAGAGACTTCTTTCAAAAATATTTTTAAAAATCTTACCAACCTTAAACTTTTCAATAGTATTATTTGGATTAATCTCATGAAAACTTCTCACATTTGACATTTGCATTCTTCAGAAATTCTCCTTTCGAGATTTAAGGAACAATGAAAGTAATTTGTGTTTGCAACAACTAAATGCTGCAGGAGTAAATGCTGACATAAAATACCATTGTTTTTCTGCATTATATTAATTAGAATTGGTTTTTGTTTGCATTAAAACAATCATAATTAAAATAAGGGGATATGATTAACTGTCAAAAAACGAATGTCACAATGCTAAAAATCTTAATGTACCATTAAGTACAGTTGGCTTCATTTTCTAAGCAACATGTAGTTTCTAATTTCTTCCTTATGATTTTGGGGTGAAATATGATTTCGGACATGCTCGAAGTTTATGTGACATTCACTTATTTTCTTGATAAATAATGACAATGTACACATTGCAAAGTTTTGGGAGCAACAAACGACAACTGTATTTCACTAGAGCAAGTACATGGCCAATTTTACATAAACACTCCTTACATGTCTCTCTTTGTAGTCTGTCTAACTACGTACCTCTTGATCCTCCACATGACGGCTATGTCTCTTTAAATCGCTCAAGCAGATCATCCCTTCTCTATTCTATCTTTTGGTTACATAACCATAAACACTTGGAGCGGCCAGTAATTATATATGGTCAATAAAAGCACCACAAAGTTTCTTTGTTACATCACAAAAAGGGTTCTGCCAGAGAGGGAAATTCAAAACATGAGAACGGAATGACAGAATGGGTGTCATATTCTGTTATAACAAAAGTAAAAAGAAGATTCATGATCAAAGTTTCTGCCATCAGAGACACAGAAGCTCTTTTTTAGGAATACCTGTTGTGGGACACAGTAACTGCAAAACAGCCATCTATCTCTATCTTTAAAATACAGGAACGTCTTTCTTTCTGTCTGTCTGTGTGTGTGTGTGTGTGTGTGTGTGTGTGTGTGTGTGTGTGTGTGTGTGTGTGTGTGTGTGTGTGTGTGTGTGTGTGTGTGTGTGTGTGTGTGTGTGTGCGTGTGTGTGTGGCTGTTATTCGCATATCTCTCGAACCGTTAGTCCGATGGACTTTAAACTTGACAGGTGTCTTGCTACGGGCACGAGTAAGTGCAGTGTCAAGTTTGACGTTGTTTGGATTAGAAATGCAAAAGATATCATTAAATATATATCAGTAAAGGAAGCACACATTGGCTTTTGCCGCTCTAGCCGCTGACCACTCCCCCTCTCACACTGCACACTGAATGGCTACTCCCCCTCTCACACTGCACACTGAATGGCCACTCCCCCTCTCACACTGCACACTGAATGGCCACTCCCCCCCACACTGCACACTGAATGGCCACTCCCCCCCACACTGCACACTGAATGGCCACTCCCTCTCACACTGTACACTGAATGGCCACTCCCCCCTCACACTGCACACTGAATGGCCACTCCCCCCCACACTGCACACTGAATGGCCACTCCCCCCCACACTGCACACTGAATGGCCACTCCCCCTCACACTGCACACTGAATGGCCACTCCCCCCCACACTGCACACTGAATGGCCACTCCCCCCTCACACTGCACACTGAGTGGCCACTCTCCCTCTCACACTGCACACTGAATGGCCACTCCCCCCTCACACTGCACACTGAATGGCCACTCCCCCCTCACACTGCACACTGAATGGCCACTCCCCCCCACACTGCACACTGAATGGCCACTCCCCCCTCACACTGCACACTGAGTGGCCACTCTCCCTCTCACACTGCACACTGAGTGGCCACTCCCCCTCTCACACTGCACACTGAGTGGCCACTCCCCCTCTCACACTGCACACTGAGTGGCCACTCTCCCTCTCACACTGCACACTGAATGGCCACTCCCCCTCTCACACTGCACACTGAATGGCCACTCCCCCTCTCACACTGCACACTGAATGGCCACTCCCCCTCTCACACTGCACACTGAGTGGCCACTCCCCCTCTCACACTGCACACTGAGTGGCCACTCTCCCTCTCACACTGCACACTGAATGGCCACTCTCCCTCTCACACTGCACACTGAGTGGCCACTCCCCTTCTCACACTGCACACTGAATGGCCACTCCCCCTCTCACACTGCACACTGAGTGGCCACTCCCCCTCTCACACTGCACACTGAGTGGCCTCTCCCCCTCTCACACTGCACACTGAATGGCCACCCTCCCTCTCACACTGCACACTGAGTGGCCACTCCCCCTCTCACACTGCACACTGAGTGGCCACTCTCCCTCTCACACTGCACACTGAGTGGCCACTCCCCCTCTCACACTGCACACTGAGTGGCCACTCCCCCTCTCACACTGCACACTGAGTGGCCACTCTCCCTCTCAAACTGCACACTGAGTGGCCACTCTCCCTCTCAAACTGCACACTGAGTGGCCACTCTCCCTCTCACACTGCACACTGAGTGGCCACTCTCCCTCTCAAACTGCACACTGAGTGGCCACTCTCCCTCTCAAACTGCACACTGAGTGGCCACTCTCCCTCTCACACTGCACACTGAGTGGCCACTCTCCCTCTCAAACTGCACACTGAGTGGCCACTCTCCCTCTCACACTGCACACTGAGTGGCCACTCTCCCTCTCACACTGCACACTGAATAGCCACTCCCCCCCACACTGCACACTGAATGGCCACTCCCCCCCACACTGCACACTGAATGGCCACTCCCCCCCACACTGCACACTGAATGGCCACTCCCCCCTCACACTGCACACTGAATGGCCACTCCCCCCCACACTGCACACTGAATGGCCACTCCCCCCCACACTGCACACTGAATGGCCACTCCCCCCTCACACTGCACACTGAATGGCCACTCCCCCCCACACTGCACACTGAATGGCCACTCCCCCCCACACTGCACACTGAGTGGCCACTCTCCCTCTCACACTGCACACTGAATGGCCACTCCCCCCTCACACTGCACACTGAATGGCCACTCCCCCCTCACACTGCACACTGAGTGGCCACTCCCCCCTCACACTGCACACTGAATGGCCACTCCCCCCCACACTGCACACTGAGTGGCCACTCCCCCTCTCACACTGCACACTGAGTGGCCACTCTCCCTCTCACACTGCACACTGAGTGGCCACTCTCCCTCTCACACTGCACACTGAATGGCCACTCTCCCTCTCACACTGCACACTGAATGGCCACTCTCCCTCTCACACTGCACACTGAGTGGCCACTCTCCCTCTCACACTGCACACTGAATGGCCACTCTCCCTCTCACACTGCACACTGAATGGCCACTCTCCCTCTCACACTGCACACTGAGTGTCCACTGCCCCTCACACTGCACACTGAATGGCCACTCCCCCTCACTGCACACTGAATGGCCACTCCCCCCTCACACTGCACACTGAGTGGCCACTCTCCCTCTCACACTGCACACTGAGTGGCCTCTCCCCCTCTCAAACTGCACACTGAATGGCCACTCTCCCTCTCACACTGCACACTGAGTGGCCACTCTCCCTCTCACACTGCACACTGAGTGGCCACTCCCCCTCTCACACTGCACACTGAGTGGCCACTCCCCCTCTCACACTGCACACTGAGTGGCCACTCTCCCTCTCAAACTGCACACTGAGTGGCCACTCTCCCTCTCAAACTGCACACTGAGTGGCCACTCTCCCTCTCACACTGCACACTGAGTGGCCACTCTCCCTCTCACACTGCACACTGAGTGGCCACTCTCCCTCTCAAACTGCACACTGAGTGGCCACTCTCCCTCTCACACTGCACACTGAGTGGCCACTCTCCCTCTCAAACTGCACACTGAGTGGCCACTCTCCCTCTCACACTGCACACTGAGTGGCCACTCTCCCTCTCAAACTGCACACTGAGTGGCCACTCTCCCTCTCACACTGCACACTGAGTGGCCACTCCCCTTCTCACACTGCACACTGAGTGGCCACTCCCCCTCTCACACTGTACACTGAGTGGCCACTCTCCCTCTCAAACTGCACACTGAGTGGCCACTCTCCCTCTCACACTGCACACTGAGTGGCCACTCTCCCTCTCACACTGCACACTGAGTGGCCATTCCCCCTCTCACACTGCATGGCCATCATTTGTAGTAGCCTATTCACAAACTGTTTGCTCAAGCATAGCCTGGTCTCCTCTCAATGCTAAGTTATTACTGTGTTATGTGAGCTGAAGTTAGCCTGTAACTATGTGATGTTGAATATGCTATGTTAAAGTAACACTATGTAGTTTTTCAACCTTCATAATATATTTCCAAGACCCTTGTGATGGTACATCGACTTACAATAGGTTAATTGACACGTCTGTCATAGCCTGACGTGGTCTGTATCGCTTTTATTTGCACTATGTAACTTCGGGTTTCGGGTAGTAACCGGAGCACAAAAATTCGACTGCTTTACGGCATACGTCACTTCACCCACCACTTCCTCAAATTGTCTGTGGCCATTGTTGATTCCAAAGCCGGTGCTGGATAAACAGCGAGCGTGCGCGTGCGACAGTAGGCTGCGGTAGGCTAAATTATTTACGACAGCGGTAATGGACAACTAATGTATTGCGACTTACAAGTAGCTTGAGACTGAGAGGCGCGCTCCACTTTTGTAGATCAGTGGTGCGCACACTTGGTGTGAGCACGGGAATTAGTAAAATTATGCGCAATACAAGTACTATTTAACCGGAGTAAATGAGACGAGTGAGTGAAAGGAGGCGGGTGTGTGTCACTTCGCCGTCGGAGAGAAGAGAGCAAAAAACACACAGTTGACGTTATTGCCTGTGCCGCTAGAAACAAAACGGACTGGCTCGGGATCGGAAAGACGTGAGACTGACCGTCCGGTCACCGGTCCGGGCTGATCATGTGGAAAATTGTCCGATACCGGTCCCTGGCCGGTTGATCAGTGCATCTCTATTTTCTATATAGAAAATATATTTTTTAGTAAATAAATCTAAGTAACCCTGGTTCCCTGAGAAGGGGAATGAGAGGCGGCGTCGTGGAGTTGATGCTATGGGGAACACCCTCAGAGTGACTGGTGTGTGAACACGTGTACCAAACATGCATATTATTGGCTGATGGCAGTCTATGACGTCATGAGTGGAGTGCCCATGAGTATAAGAGGGCATCTGCAAGACATTTCATCAACTCTTTTGTATGAAGGAGACGTTCAGGCAAACCGATGCAAGGTAACGAGGTGCAGCGTCTCATCCCCTTCTCAGGGATGTTCCCTTTCGAAGTGGAACTTTGATGCGTGTCATGGAGATGACGCTATGGGGAACCAATACTCACCCCGCCAGGCTGAGGGGATGCCTGCCTTACTAGGCAGTGGATATGCAAACCATAGTGGGCATACCATAGATTGACTCTACCTCTACAGATCACCTAGCTGGAGTCAAAGCATGTCAACCCACAGGGTGCAAATTGTTTAGTGGAGCCAGTCACTAAGCTCAATTTCAGGGCAGGCAAAGAAACCTAAAAGGCCCTAAGAGAAAAAGCTCTAATAAACAAAGCCCTTAGGGAGTAGCTTATCAAAGGGAGTAAATCAACTATGGTCTTCGATGTATCACTACCTTCAAGGGTGAGAATATAACCCTCATTTTGCAAGGGATGCAAATATGAGAGTGGCATAGAATAAATGCCAAAACTCTTGCCAGTGCAGCTCAACCCCTCAAACTCTACTTATTAAGCTCTACTAAAGACATAGGGGAGAGCGCACAACCCTGTTTGAGCAAAGAACCTCTCCAGGAACCACTAGGGAACTCTGTGAACCTCCGTTAGACTGCCTCTACTTGTCAGGTTTTCCCAGCATGGACCAACTAGAGACTTTGCACAATACAAAGCCATTGGGGAGCAAAAGGCCCTACTTCAAGACCCAACCGTAGTTGGGGAGGAAATAAACGAAACTGAGAAATTTTGTGAATATCTATCACAATCCCGTCCAACATGCTCTACCCTAAGGGTATCTTGAGGGCAGCTTAAGAAAGGGAGCAAGGCTTAAGTGCTCAAACCGTTATTGCCTGTTTTTTGTTATTGCCTAAACGAACGAACGAAACACAAACCCTTAGTAATTAGTCCTTCAGACTATCCACTACTGATGCCTCTCCAAGGGAAAGCCTAATCCTTACTCCTATTCGGGGAAGGAGGGAAAATGAAAGCAAGGCATAATGCACTGTGCCCAGTACTTCATATTACCCAGACTTTAGACCCCAAGGAAACCACAGGGGAGCTTAAGCCCTACTTAAAGACCCCAATGCAACTGAAGGAGAGGAGCTTATCCCCTCCCTTGAGTAAGAGCACATACACAGACAGCAAGTTGCCAAAACCCCACAGTAATTGGCCCTTGAGGTAAACGAATCAGAGGAAGAACTGTAAGTGCCCATCGTATTTTTGTCCACCTTGCTCTACCCTAACTTGAGCAGCTTTCCTAAAAGGGAGCAATCAAAATGCTAACTGACTTCCTAACTTCAGCATCACAGGCTACAACCTTCAGTGTCGCCACTCTTCCACTTCTCACCGCATTCTGAAAAGTGGTTGTACCTCGGCAGAGCAGCTAATGAGTGAAGGGGTTTCCATCATCTTATCGGCGGCCACTCTTTCAGTAAGCTGATGCCTCAGCGGTTTACTGCCAACACCTCCAGAATATGGAGGGAGAGCAACCGAAAATCAGTGAGGAAGGAACACCACCCTCAGTTTTCTTTATTTTCACTGCTAGGCGGATTCCATGGTGGGCAGGACCCCACAGGCCTGTTTTGCCACCACATATGCCTTGCCACAAGCAGCAAGATGGTAAAGCAGAGGAGGCAGGCTCTACCCACCTGCAACCCCACGATCGAAGCTCCCGCGCTATTCCAGCAACACAGGGCTTGATCCACAAGGTTGACTTTCATACCCCCCTCCCCTTATTTTTTCTTAAGAAAAAAGTTAAGCAAGAGGGGTTTTATTTCCCTCACGTGGCTTACACCAGTGAATGCATTCAGCTCCCTTGAAAGCCGAATGCACTCGCTCTCCATTGGCAAGGCGGGAACCTTCCAAGAGGACGCAGCACCAAGGGAGAGATGGCTCGCAAGCAACTCATCAATTGGGACATACTCTCATATTGCTGCTCACACAGTACCTCCAATAATTCCCTCAATGTGGTGATCTTGGAGAAATAAAAGGCTCACACTCTTAAATGCAGGGCAGCGGAGGTGGTGGAATATAAATAACATCTGCCTCAACTCTCTCTCCGTATCTAATTCCTCAGACTAGACCCTCTTTATATGCTCTCAGTCAGGTCAGAAGGGGCAGCAGAGTGCCTTCCTGAATCAACATGAGACCAATGGTCTTTAATAAATCTCCATTCAGAACAGAAGATTTTGCTCTCTTTTAAGAGCAAGCTTCCAAATTCACCAAATGGGATTGAGAGGAATGGATCTATCGGAAGCCCTGATTTCTTCTCCCCAAGCTCCGCCTACAATCCTCATGATCGCTCTTCCGTCTCGGCAGCCATGAGACCTGAACCGCGAGGTGCAGATGCTCAACTCTCATCTCTCAAGAGTGAGTTAAACATGGGCGGAGCTTGCCACAGTGAATTGCAACGTTGCATTACAGAGCATGGATTCAGCTCCCTCGAGAGCATGCGCTCCGTACAAAAGCTGGACTCTCATCACTATAAGAAAATCGGGCAAGAACAGAGCTTCTACTGCAAATGCATCTCTATGAGTGCATCCAACTCCTTAAAGAGCTGAACACACTCTGTGCAAACGCTAGATTCTATCCCCTAGAGAGAGAGAGAATCAAGCAGGAATAAAAGCTCTTAACACGAATGCATCACAATGAGCGCATTCAACTCCCTCAAAAGCCGAAAGCAATCCGTGCAAACGGTATATTCTATCCCTCGAAAGAGAATCAAGCAAAACAAAAGCATCACAATGAGTGCATCCAGCTCCCACAGATTCTGGTCTTACACACGCACACAAACAAACAGCTCCTGAAGACAAAAAAGTTGATGATGGGTCCTTGCAGGTGCCCTCTTATACTCACGGGTGCTCTGCTCGTGACATCATAGACAGCCGTCAGCCAATATTTGGCATATTTGGTACATGTGTTCAGACACCGTAAGGGTGTTCCCCATAGCGTCAACTCAATGACGTAGTGTTACAGTTCCACTTTGAAAGGGAACTCAAAAGACGTCTGGACTTATGTCAATAATTTGATGAGAAAATGTGCTTGTGCTTAAGTGTAAAAAAAATAATGTCACAATGCATTTTTTTATTAAAAACAGGCTTATTTTTTCACGCAAAAAAATATTTCTTGTTTTGCTAAATTAAAATGTAATTGTTTAATGTGTTGTTTAACACGCCTAATGTGTGTTCATATATTCTAGAATTTAGAGTCAAAGAGTTGAGGATGTTACATAAAACAGCACATGTAAAAAACAACTGTTTAGGATTACCTACCATGTCTACTTCTGAGATACTGTCCAAGCTTTCCACTTGTACATCAACTCCCACTGGAATAGCAGGACCTGCAAAAAAAAAAAAAAAAATCCATTTATACAACATATACAACTCTGTTTGTCAATTAATTTACACCATTTTCTCCATCCCACTGCTTTATGACCTCTTTTGCATATGCCATGCATTAATTTTTCACAATACTCATTGTTTACTGGAGTCTGACAGCTTCATACCAGTTGCAATTAGCAGGGTGTTTGCTAAGACATCTGTGAGCATCATTAAATATGTCCTCACAGCCAGATCTGAGTCTGTTTGCTTTCCACCAGATCTGTTCACAAAAGGCTTAGCAGATGCTTTGACATCTGACGGATTGTAGGATTGTAAGGAACGCTTGTTCTCAAAGGACAGGCCTTCAACCGGAACTGTAGCTTTCATATCCTACATGGAGCTGCACTTGTAAGGTCTTTTGTAGCAAACATAAACCCTTGCTCTTTCCCAGGATTAGTGTAATATGACTATCTGTCACTCAGAAGGTAAGACATTTAGGTAAATGGGCAGGGGGCAGCCAGTACATATGGACGGGGATGATGCCCAAACGTCAGACAGATTCGAAACAAGATTTTCAGTGTGTTTCACTCCTAGTCGTAGTAATCCGACGAGATTACTGGAGATGGTAAATGGTGGATTAAACTTGGATGCTCAAAATGATACTGACACTGACTGAAACTTGCCATTATGTGTCACTTAATGTGTCGCTCATAAAAAAATCTTCATGAAAAGCACAAGCATTGCTTAATATGCTGTAGAAAATGCATTTGAGCCCTGTAGATAAGTAAGGGCCAACTGTGGAGATGACTTTTTACAAATTTGCTTATGTAATAGATCCTCATGAGTAAACTATAGCCATGCAATACCCACTGGACTCCATCCTGTCAATTTCCCTGTCATGTACCATCAAGGCTTTTCATTTCACACAAATAAGCCTAAATAAGGACACAGCTCCTAGGTAAAATCGATTTGTCCAATCTAATCAACACCCTGCTGTCAGTTTCAGTCTGAAACCATTAGAATGACCTTGAGTGTCCCATTTCTAGGTTATAGTTACCACTTGGAGGTGGTTATTTGTGCTTGTTCCATGAAAAACAAATACAAATAACATTATATAAACTGGATATTAATAAAGGGTTAGTTCATCAAAAAAAAAAAACCTCTTATTATTTACACACTCTCGTGTTTTTCAAAACCCATTTGCCTTTCTGTCCTTTTAAAATTCATAAATATATCTAATTTTGTGTTCCACAGAAGAAAGTAAGTCACACTGATTTGGAGCGACACAATTTTAATTAAAGAGATAGTTCATCAAAAAAATTAAAGGGTTAGTTCACCCAAAAAATAAAAACTCTGTAAGTAATACTCACCCTCATGTTGTTCCAACCGCATAAGACTTTCGTTCATCTTCGGAACACAAATTAAAATATTTTTGATGAAATCCGAAAGCTGGCTCACTCCTTCACAATTGGTAATTGATATCTGCCAGCCCGGAAAAGTTAGTAAAGACAGAACTTAGGCTCACTTTTGGCCGACGCTAATCATGTGTGTGATGCTGGCCAATAGTGAGCCTACGTTCTGATGTACAACACAGAAGCGATGCGCTGTTACACTACGTGAACTCACTCAGAGGCCCAGAAGAAAATGAATAGTTCAATAAAGTCGTTATTTTAGTTTTTTTTGCGCACAAAAAGTATTCTCGTCACTTGATAAACTTAAGGTTGAGCCACTGTAGTCACTTGGACAATTTTAACGATGTCTTTGCTAACTTTTCCGGGCTGGCAGATATCAATTACCTAGCAGCCTATGAAGGAGTGAGCCAGCTCTCAGATTTCATCAACAATATCTTAATTTGTGGTCCGAAGATGAACGAAAGTCTTACGGGGTTGGAACAACATGAGGGTGAGTAATTACTGACATAATTTTCATTTTTGGGTGAACTAACCCTTTAACAATAATAATAGTTTTTTGTCATTATTTACACACTCTTATGTTGTTCCAAACACATATGACTTTCTAAAAGTTAAAAGTTATACAAATATCTCTTTTTGTTCCACAGAAGAAAGAAAGGCACACGTATTTGTAGCAACATAATGATTAGAACAAAAATGTTCATTAAAGGGATAGTTCATCAAAAACAGACAACAACATCAAAAATATATATTTTTTTTATTTGCACTCTCATGTTGTTCCAAACCCATATGATTTTTATCCTCTTAAAATGTATTAAAAAATGCATTATTTTGTGTTCCAGAGAAGAAAGTAAGTCAAACAGAGTTGAAAGGACATAATGATTATGACCTACTCCTTTACAAAAAAGATGAAATCACCCCTTTCCCGGGTTGATTTTAATAATAGTGCTTTTCTTTCAAAGTTCCCGAGGCCACGCCGCTGAGCTGGTGATCGCTGGTTGATGTTTGACGAGTGGGCGGTCTTTAAACCAGCTGTCTGCGTGGCAGGACAGGCTGGGATTGTTGCATGTGCTAATCCATGGGGATTGGTCCGGTCAGTACAAACCGCTGCCAGATTAATCTCGTCTCTAGCACCAGAGCGCCTCACTCCATAGCAGATCGAGCGATCCTCCAGATGGACGAACCCATCAGCGAGGATCGCTTATGTCTTTAACGGGCGAATTAAAAAAAAGATAAAGTGAGAAAAGAGAGAGGGGCAACAAAATGTAATGTGATTACAATCGTCCTCAGTTTTGCATGCAGCTTGTAAGACTAACTGATCCTTTTGTCGAATGTAAAGAGTTCAGCCAATTTTGGCTGCACGAATAACGAGACGTGGCATCCTGGCATGGAGAGGTTACTTGATATCTTTTGATCTTTCATTTTTGGTTCGTATCTGATTTTCGGATGCTGCTGGCCCAGCAGGCCAGAAAATTAGTATTGAAAGCAGAATTGCACATATCCAAATCTGCACAGAAGTAAACAGGGATGCATGTCATCATACGACATGAGACAAAACCTTAATATGTCTAATCCTTCACATCAAGAAACACATACTGCCCTATAATGACCCATAAACACGCAGTGAGTGCTATATGTTTTCTGTGTACATCAAGAGATACTCCCCTTGTGGAGGATTAGGCATAAGCTTTATGCACCATCAGTTAGCCGTCTCTGGATTTAAACTACTGCAGTCATGCATTAGCAATTCTCTTTTGCTTCTGAAGTAAATCTCATTTATGCAGTATACACGGCACATTATTATACCTGCGCTACCTTTTACTCATTCATTGCTTAGGTAGAATACTGCAATTTGACGGTGAAAAGCATGCTAAAAAGCATTGATTAATATTTTTCCTGGTCCAAAAGTGCATGATGATTAAAAAAATACTGAATATTGACAGAGCTGTGAAAAGAAATGGTTCAGCAAATCCATGCAAACACTTTTTGATACAGCAAGATCAATTTGATTTACATCTAAATGCAAAAATAAACCCTTGTTCTGAACCAACCTGTTTATTTAGTAACTTGGCATTTCACAACCACTTAAGTATTCTTTCTAAAAGAAGAAGATCTTCTTTCTAATTATTTTGGTTTTAGTGCAGTCTAATGCATTTAGTATAGGCATTTTTCGTAAATGCAGTCAAATGGCGCCCGCCTTGAACATCCTTCACAACAAATTATTCCTTATTTCCTTCCAATTTCCTTCCAAAAAATTGTGCCATCCCAGTGTTTTCAGTGGCATTTCTTGCCTTGGTCTTCGGCTTTTCATGGGTGGCTTTTAGCTCCTTGTTGAAGGACGCTTTTGACACTATCCTTTCACATATTTGGCATTTGCTAAAAAATATTAATTACCTTGAACTAAACTAAAAACAGACAAAAATCTTTTGTCTTTAAGCTCATTGCACAATTCTAGATTTTAAAATTATTTAGAAATATATATACTTTAAAAATGAACAATGTAATAAAATCTGTTCAGTGCATTAAAAAAAGCTTCCTTTCTTGGACTATTTAGTGTTTTGGAAAAACATCAAATGAAAATGCCCTTGAACCCCCCCTCCCACCCCCATTCATAGTATTATAAAATCTATAATACTATGAATCGATGACACTGGATGACAGTTGTGATTACATCATGTTTTGAACTAGCAGCGAGATTTTCACCGTCAACCAGATGCAACAATGCATCGCTGACAGAGATGACAGATCTGTTTATGCGTCTGAGGGGGTGAATATGTTTGGGCTATTTTCATTCCCTTTGCTGTGACCCCCTGCTGAACAAAGAGCAATTCCCAAACGTACGCCGAGTCTGAGCATCCAAATGAGGGACTTTTTAGATACTCTATTCATAGGAGGAACAGCATCAAACACTGGAGTGTTTCTTTTTCTTTGCCCTATATAGGAACGCATCATTAAAAAAAGAATATGCGTGTTCTTGTGGACTGTATGGACTGGCAGGAGGACTTTCATTAGTTCTTAGCCTTTACTGCTCAAACTTTTAAGTGTCGTACAAAGAGAAGCCTTGAGCTCCCCCTTATATCATCCTTTAATACCATTCTAACCGTGCTAGACTAGAGGAGTCAGCATTAAAGGAATAGATCATACAAAAATGAAAATTCTGACATGAATTCTCTCGCCCTCCTGTCATTCAAAACCCCTGTGTTATTTTTGTCCATGGATCACAAAAGGGGAATTTTTTTCATCTTTACACCAGTGACAATTCATAGTGGCCATGACTGTCAAACGCCACTGCCAAACGAAAATAACTCACCAAAAATAAAAACCATAAAAGTCTTTTGAAGCCATATGAAGTAATTATTCCCATATAATCTTACATTCTTGCCTATCAAAAATGGAAGGTTTGTTTACACACACACACACAAACAATGGTGCTTTGCTTACCATGACGGTGACATGCCATTTTTGAATCTTGACGTGTTTATACAGTAATATTTCTAGAGATTATATAAACTTTATATACAAGTCACATGGACTACTTTTATAATACCTTTATGGTGTTTTTCATCCTTTTTGGAGTTTGAAAGTCTTGTTGTTACTATGATTATCACTGAAATTCCCTGAAAATATCACAGTACAGTATATGGGTAGGTAATGAGACTGGGTATATGGTATATGGGTACCCAGTATACCCAGTATATGGGTTATTCACTCCCAAAATGAGTGAATAAATAATGACAATTTTTGGGTAAACTATTAATATTTAAAAATCTCATCTTCCCAGAGGATCAATTTGCACACACATCCAGCTGTTTCTATGTGATCTGATTGATTGTTAATGCTCCTAAAAGTGACAGTGATAATCTCATTAAAACTCTGAAAAAACCTTGAGGAAAGTGTACAAAGCTCCATCTGCCAAGCTAAAAAAGCTTAAAAAGTTTGAGTTTAATAAGGTATTGCTTTGTAAAGGAAATATGTGGAATCAAGGTCAAAGCAAATCCATGTCAATGCATAAATTCAATCAAAGCATGCAGACCGACCTTCCATTGTTATTCTTAAAGGGGTCCTTCACTGCTGGCAAAATAGGCTTTCAATAACACATGGCTGCATATACAGTAGAAAATAAATTGAAATTGGTACTACCTGACTAGAGAAAACAGAGAAAAAAGCGGTTGTCTTCCCTTTTGCCAAATAGGTACTGTAGGAAAACACCCATAATGCTCTGGCCATGTTACCGTCCAAGGCCACTCCCACCAGTCTGTTATGGATACGCTTGACCAGAGTCAACTACCGCCTTGCTTTAGTAGGAAATACTACTAAGCAAACTTTTAGTCATAATGGTGTCGACTTGTATAGTTCCCGAGTGCAAGAATTCAAAAAGTAAACGTTTAGCGGGAGCGAGTTACTTTCGGTTGTCAATGAAGGATCCAGCGCAAAGAATCAAAATATGGAGAGAAGGTCAGGATTTCAAACTGGATGACCATGAACACAGTGTTTTTAGGCCAAACGGAGGGGAAAAACTGAAAGAAATTGCTGTTCTGTCAGTTCCAGCAAAACGCCGTCGCGTACAGGTACAAAAGCTGTTGCCATAGTGTTAGATTTTTACCATAATCCTGTTTAAAGAGTAGACAATGTATGATACAGTTTTCAGTGATAAACCTACCCTTAAAAAAACTGTTCCGTCAAAGGGGTTTTTATAATGGTACATGCACTTTAACATTTGGCAGTGCCTGTACACAACCATCATAAAATGATAAAAATCCATCCACTGTTTTTGTTTTAATCTCCTTATATGTTTTCCCGTCTCAAATCAAGCCATTCGACCGTGTGACGTCACACGCTCGGAAGCCCCTCCCACGATTGTTGATTGACAGCAACGTTTCAACACAGACCCGCCCTCGCTCGTGAGCGAGCTGTCAATCATAGTCTGCGCGGACCGGCGCGGTCATTGTTGATATGCTGGAGCACTGTCTATGAGCAGAATGGCGTCTAAGCGATTGTGGTGTTCTGTTCTTGGGTGTAATAACGAACACAGCAGTCATTTTAATGTTCCTAAATCCGAACCGCTGAAGACGCAGTGGCTGAGTTTGTTTTCGAAGGGAATATTCTCCACGAGCAACGTCAATGCTTTCATGTTTGCGCGAATCATTTCTCACCAGACTGCTTTATAAACGAGGGTCAGTATAAAGCTGGTTTTGCTAAGAAGCTGCTCATGTCATGAAAAAAGGATCGGTACCAGCTATTCGTGTTCCTGCTGAACCTCTAGAACAACTGAAGTGAGTGTAACGTTTTATTAAACTTTATATTAATATTTATATTAATCTTTGCAAATCGCTAGCTGCACGCTTCACAATGAATCCGTCTAAGGTTTACACTTAGGGTACATTACGGCATGTTTTCTATGTATGATGTTCTCAATATAATTCATAATCCCACGTTTATACTGAACAACGCGTTATAGTTATTGTGTTATTGTGTTACAAACGGTGTACGCACAGCACAGAGAGGCGAGGTGAGCAAAGCTCATTATCATTTAAAGTCATATGCACTGAAACGGCGTGCTGAAAACAGAGCTGTTTTTGACCAAGTAAAATAACTGTTTTCTTACAATACCACGGGTGTAATTTCCTATGGGGACAGGGGGGACATGTCCCCCCCACTTTTCAAAATCCTGTTTGTGTCCCCCCCACTTTCAAATTCGTTTTGTTATGATTTTTAACTAAAATTAATTAGGTCAGCTGTTGTTTCTGTCGTTTCATTGTCGACTGTTTTTAGAGTGTGCACGCGACGTTCCTGGACGTGGACGCGCGCTTCGACAGGCTCGGTCCTACTCCTCCGCGGTGGCGGCACAGTCCAGTCAGTCAGCGATGAAACGCCAGAAACAACAACAGGTGACTTAAGCTAGCGTCATATGATCCTGTTCTTATTCTTATTCACGTTTATTCATTTATGCATGACAAAACAAAAGAGAATGCACTGCCAGTGAATGTCCTCCTGATACACACACACACGACGCACAGAAAGACACGCGCCAGTATCGAGTTCTATTTCGCCGCTTGAACAAACAAAAACACACATGTATGCCAAAATGTCCGTTTTGTCGAGTATCCTCACAAGAACAGTCTTAAATGAGTTAAATAAAATCTTAAATGAAAGTAAAAAGTAGTGAGAGAATGAGATGCATGAGATCCTGTCAGCAGCGACAGATCTTAAAGTGACAGCAGCCACAAATTCTCTCTGTCAGTAAAGTTAACCAAAGAACAAAGGGAACAGAAAATAATTCTAACTGTCTTGACTAAATAATGCTTGTAGATTTAAAAAGGATTAATCTATATTTAATTTATATGTATGCAGTGCGGACTGTTTGATAACCTTATTCAATTTCTGTATATTTCATACCTGGCACAGGTAAATATGACATTTATTATGGGTTTATGTAAGATTTGTTTTAAGTTCACTTAAATTATAAGTTGTTATATTTTTTGAAGCCTAAATAAATGTTTAAAAAATAATTATTTCTACATTACAGTGGAAATTGAGGCTCACATTATTTACATTTTTATTTACACACAAAACATTAATGGCTAACATTTTGACTTTATAAAATGATTCTTTAAAGTCTTGGCGATCGGTCCCTATAAACAATAAAGAAAGTAAGACATATTTTTCTTATACATATAGCCTACTATTCTTTTTGGCAGAATTTATCATTATAATCAAATTATTTCCTGGTTTTTGTATCAGCATAGTCCCTAAATGTATGTACATCCAGGAAATGGGATTCAAATCGAAAACATTTTCCCCCATTTTGTGTCCCGAAGTTGTCGAAGTTAGGCTTTAACATGAAATAATATAACGGACCAATTATATTATCACCGTAGCCAATTTTTACCTGAACATTTTGAATGAATTAAACATAAGCATAAAGCATTTAGTTCTTCCCCTTTTGCTTTAATGACGAGCAACACTCAAGCTGCATGAACTCCACGAGTTTGTGTTGATCATGTTCTCCAGAATGGTTCGAGATGATCCATAGAGCATCTTTTGGTTCAATGGAAGCAAAAACATTTGACTGTCTGTACAAAGAGTCACATGATCAATGACACAAATGTAATTATTTGATTATAATAACCTAGAAATAATGCAGAATCCATTTCTTCAAAACTCTGTCAACTTTTTCGTTACATCAGTTAGACAGTAGTCCATATTTGGAGATTTTATGCAGGTAATGGCTTAATATCAAATAATAATAGTCTAAATAAAAAAAATTCCAATACTAAAAACCATATGCAGTCCAGTTAAACTGAAATCCCAGTCTTTTTACAGCAGGGCTTGATGGGGAAGTTGTTTACCCCTCTAGAGGGAGCCAATGTAGATTTGATGCCTGTTGGTCAAATAACTGACCTGAATGTTCTCCAATTGTGCATAGTAAATATGTGCAATCTGTACATAAGATTAAACCAATGCAACTAAAAATATTTGAGTGGCTTTTAGGTAAACAATTGAGTATGGAATTTATAATAAAACTTTACCACGACTTTCTCATGCTCCAAGTAGTTGTCTTATTTTTGACTAATCTTCAGTTGCTCATGGAGGATGTTGACACTAATCCTTTTACATTACGAATACTGTACATGTCTTTGAAGATTTGTTTTTAAAATAGACTCCTAAAGGAAGTTGTGGCTTTTAAATTAAGGGAATTCAGTTCACATTTGCAACACAGGGGAATGATGAACTAACCTGCAAATGCGGGCCTCATGGTGAAGTCATGATCGTCCACTTTCAACAACTGCTCTGTTTTCAGTCGCCGTGATTTTGTCACATCTGGCGGCTTCTTTGCCAGGGAGCTGCGGGTTTCAAAGTCACACAAACACTCAGATCAGCCTCTCGTATCATGGATTTGGACAATGTGCGCTATTATTATGTGGAAACGAGCAGAGGTTACATGAAAAATTCAGCCTGAACCCTCAAAGTCAATGGCATTTACATAATTTCTGTGAAAATGCAGCCGCAAAAGTGTAATGACGGATTAAGATCATGCACAGCGCTTGTATCAACAAACTGTTACGGCAGTGGCCAACTTGCTGCTGCAGCCGGATCTTTTTCAAATTACAGGAGATCTTATCGACAGACGCTCAGAAGAGCCCCAAACTCTGGATTTCATGAACTGTGCTTGTTCCAGTCAAGCAATGAGCATAATAAACTCTTTATGTAGCGATATAAAAATCACTGACAGTGACTCAAAAGAATCCAGTGAGTAGTAAACTGCCTCATTCCCCACATCGACTTGCCATTTGTAATTTATTTCCTGTTGCGAATATGAGACAGAAGGCAGCTTTCCATGACTGGCACCCTGTCTGCAGCGATACAGCTGGATTTACTCATGCAAATTTGAAGGCTTTTGCAATCTAAAAACATGTTAATTCTGAAGATTTCTTGTTTGTTTTAATTTCATAGACCCATGAGGCTGTACCCATGTCAGCTTGTCAGGACAGCTCTGTGCCAACGTACTGTCCTTGGCAGATGGGCAAAATGTGCCTGTGACACGTGGCTGTTTGTCCGAGTAAGAAGCACCAGTCCGAGCACGCCAGTGATACGTGTTTCGGTTCAGAGCCGGCATCATTTGTCTGGGTCATGTTAATTACACCCCGGCCCCTGGCCTCATTTATGGCACTCTGCTGTCATAGAAATCAGGCTAATAAAGGTGGTGGAAAAATGAGTCTGCGAAATACATCAATGGATGAGGTCACAACATCACCTAAGTTCTTATGTGCAACTCTTATAACATAAATCAGAAAAAGGATCATCAAATGCTTGTAATTAGTAATGAACTGATACATATCTGACATATGATATTTGACTATTTGGAGAGTACCAGCATCAGCCGATAACTGTGCCCATTCGGTCGATTAATAGAAGTGCTTTTCTTTAGAAATAAGTTGGAAAGTCTGACACTTTCAATGAATTTTTATTGTTTCAAATACATTAAATAATTGTTCATTTAACCTAAAATGCAAAGCTTTTTGCAAAAGCAAAATGCTTTTCAACCATAATATTCATCAAAATGCACAGACACATTATCTGTAACCTATAACAACTTGTTTGGTTAACAAAAAATAATTTTAATTATAATTTAGATTGTGTGACAACTTAATTGAGGCATTCCTGGATTTTCAGATGAAAAGGTCACTGCAAGTATAGTACAAATCGACACCCACACATGCATTTGGGGGTTATTTTATATAATTTTGTATATCCCAATTAAGTTGTATATCAGCACAGTAAAAATCGGTATTGGTCAACTAAAAACCTGAAGTTTAATTACTGCAAGTTTTTCTACCACTTTAAATCCTAATGAAGCTTAAATCAGTAGAAATAGATGTTTAAGTTAAATAGAAGGAAACAAACATGTTTTGTGTAGCCTACTTGTTGACATTCATCAATCATCTTCAATGTGATTATTGCTACATTCATCATCATCAGCATCATCACTACCACAACAATCATCATCATCAGCATCAGCAACTTTTTCATCATGAACAGTGAGCCCAGCAATGTGTAGGCTAGTCCACATCATCATCAGCACGAGATGTCAATCCAAGTTTAGCTGTCAAATGTTGAATTTCCACTTACGTCCCATGCTTCTGGGTGTCCACAGCTCCTGTCCACCTCCTCTCTCTCGTTGCGTGTTTATTCCGGCACTCCCCAAACGAGCCCAGGAAGAGCGCTAAAACTAGGAACTGTCTCAGATAAGGCATTATGCAGAAAACTAGGTGAAAAATCTACAGGTGTGTCCTGAAATCCAGCTTAATCCATGAATCCATGAAGGCAGCATCTTTCCGTTCTCAGCGCAGAAATCGCTGCAGCTCGCATCTCTGGCATACGCGATGTGAGAATGGTTTAAATATCAGCGCGACGCGACGCATCCTGCAGCTCCGCGCGGCGTCTCTGCTGCCTGTCATTGGTTATCAGCCGCACAGCTGCTTTGACCACATGGCATCAGCGGTGGGCATACGCGCGCGCTTCCCACAGTTGTCTGTAGGGTTGAAGGAAAAGACGGATTAGACAGACACATATGACCAGAAAAAGCTCTGCATCGGAGACTATGCAAGCTTTCAAATCTAAAGCACGAGTAAAATGGATCCACTAAATGCCAAAACACCCTTCTAAAGCATTTGACGCAATTCCACATGATTCTCTCTGGCTCGTGGGATCAATGCATTGCAGTTCTAGAATAAGTTTGATTCACTTCCATGTGGCTAATGGATTTCTGTTTAAAATACTGTGTATTACATAATTCAGCTACTATCTTTAGCTAGCTGCTAACCTAGATGTCTATCTTACACTGTAAAACAATCAACTAGGCATACAATTCAACCGAACCGCCGAACTGAAATTAAAAGGTTTAATTGGTGCCTTGTTGGAACGCGACTGTCGCAAAATTAAGCCGCGTGCTAATGACGTTAATTTGTAAAGCCTCATTTGCGCTCAATGGGCGTTTATTATGGCCGTTTTTTTTTAATTTCTGTGTAAAATAAAATCTGTGGTTAGGCTATAGGCCTACACAAGTTTACCTCAAACATGAACTTTGAAGCTGCTTTTTGTTTGTAAAAAAAGAAAGAAAAAAAAGTAGCCCTTGTAGCCCTTAAAAAAGTAGTAGTAGTTATCTACAGACCTTATTTTACTTACAAATTCAAAAACACCATTCTAAAAATAACAATCCCAATGGAATCCATGGCTTGAAACCTGTCTGTCCTGGACTTTAGGCCTACACACACACACATAACAGCTCTATGGGTTGAAATTATTATGCCAAGTTAAATGGATGGAAACAAAATGATGAAAAGCGTGCAATGCATAACTTCCAGTGAAAATCTACCGATATGTTCAGTTTCTTTGTTTCAACTGCTTAAAGATGTCTTTTTAATTTCATAAAGATTATAGGCTTTAACCATGAATTGTACTTCTTCCAGTCTTACAAGGATCATAATGCACAATTTATTTAGTGATATAAAAAACTCTGATAGAAGCAACCCAGAGATTGAAAAAGAATACAAAAAAATAGAAGTCAATGCCTTTCCCCACTGTTTCTTTCCATTTGTAATTTCTTTCCTGTTGAGAGAACATCAGACAGAAGGCAGTTTGCCACGACTGGCACCCCACAGTAACGCTGCTGGATTTTCTTTTGTTAATTTGCAACAAGACAAATTACGTCCTCTGAGCGATGGCCGCAATTGCAAATGTGTCTCTTTGAATGGTAATGATGGAGTTTAGGAATGACAACTTTGAATCACTACATGTGAATAATTTTGGGAAACATGCATAATATGAAAACATAAATGAGTGATACAATTACACATATCGGTAACACTTTACAATAAGGTCCCATTACTTCGTGTTAGGGATTAACTAACATTAACTAACAATGAATGTTACATTTGTTATAGGCATATTTATTCATTTTTTTTAAAAAGTAATGCACCTCTTGATGGAAATAACATCACAAAATGTATTTCCATCAAGAGGTGCATCAATTTTTGGTCACGATCTTGTATTGACAATGCAAGAGTCAAGCCCTCTGTAAAGTCTACTCCAGCACATCCCAAGGGATTTCAATGAATTTAAGGTCTGGACTCAGAGGTGCCAATTCATATGTGAAAATGATTCTTCATGCTCCCTCCCAACCATTCTTTCCCAGTTTGAGCCCGATGAATCTTGACATTGTCATCCTGGAAAATTGCCATGATGTGTCTTCCTACATGCAATGAAAAGAAATGAAAAGCTCTACAATCCATCAATTAGGGTTAGAAGAACTGTTGCCAAACATATAACATGATAGAAACATAATAATCACAGCAATAATGATCCAATCATAAACTCTTTAAATCCAAACAGCATTTTTCCATAATTTTTCAAATATTTTTTCCATCACCACATCCCCTTAGGGGGCTCCATAAAATTAACATCAACTAAGATTAATAAATCATTTAAAAGCATTTTTCATTGTTCATTCTCATGTAAACTAAGTTAGTTATACAATAAAATCAATATGGACAATTCTTGTTTAGTATTTATTATCAGTGATTTATCCATGCATGTCAATATATACAGTATATATTTTTTAAATTCATGTGCCCTCATAAACTTTAATCAAAATAGCGTCCCCTCCCTCTTGTTACTGGCTTGAGGGCGGGACAACCTGTCACTCGCATTAGGTCACAGCAATAGCAAACCACAACCATCCAACAATCCAATCAATTCCCGATTAACAAAATCAAGTCTTGCCCTATTTCCAAGTCCTGCATTTTTCCTTGTTGTTTAATGCCAACTTTAACAAACGGAACCTTATTGTAAAGTGTTACCCAAATATCTGATTTCATTAAACATCAAAAGCAAATGTCTTTGAAACATAGCTCAAGTAAAACATTTGACAAAAATACTTTGTAATTTGAATTTGAAAACACCTGTACTGCGAGGAAAACTGATGTCATACGTTTCCAAAAAATTATCGACACCAGTTGCTTTCAAAGTCACTGCAAAAAGTAAAGTTATTTCTGAGAAAAAGGCTATTTTGCTATCTTGAATTTTTTTTCAATCTCAAGAAGATTTCACAAGAAGAAGGGGGGGGTGGGGGTGGGGTTGTCTCCATCCAGGGGCTTGCCTGAAGGTCTGCCTTTCTGTCACTGTCACAGCAGCAGATGGTTAGGCTCTTTTTTTTCATGCATTTGTCCTCCCACTCACTCAGCTCTGGCTCTACTGCCACTGAAACTCAGCTTATCTGGGATTTCACAGCAATTCAGCGCTGCCACGCCCCAGCTCCGTATCCACTTGATGCCTGCCACTGAGCTGGAGCAACGCCAGTGTGTCACTAAAGGATCCGTTACGTAAAACTTTGTCAGGCCTCTCATATTAAAGGGATAAATCTGTCCCCTGCACAGCCAGTGCTTTTGTGTTGCAGTGTTTGCAAATCAAAATGGAGAAATTCAATTGGAAATATAAACAAAGCTGTCCTTGGACCTTTTTTTGATGGCATGTAGGAGGCTTTACAAACGCGCCATGTCAGACTCATGATATCCAACCTTAACTGTGTCCAAATGATCGCTGCCTGCCACATTGCCTCTGTGCTAAAAGCCAAGTGACAAAGATCGTCAATCTGAGTGACTCTGATTGGAGGTTACCGCTCATGCAGACAGGCGACTTCTTTTGAAGTGCGGAGCAAAGCACTGCAGGGCCTCTTTTGCGTTAAATTTGCTCATATCCTCCCTATGATGGGTGCTGGAATCATTCTCGCAGTTCAGACTGCTGGGAACATCAAATTGTGGAGTAATGTTGCATGCATTGCTCTTACAAATTTAGATAATAAAGGGAGAGTGACAACAAGTTGTGTCTTTTTCCACTGTATTTTGTTCAGCACTGATCTAATGATTGTTTGGCGAACTGCAAGACTAGAGCAAACGATCTCACGCTGAGATATACATTTCACTGGAGCTACTGTATGATGGAAGAATTACACAAAACGTATGTGCAGTAATGAAATACAGACTGTTAATCTTTAAATCATAACATGGATATTATGTACAGCGAGGCGTTGTCCCGCTTATTAAATTGCTTCAAAGCAAATAACTAAATAAATAACATTAAATATTGATGTAAGTTGGAATCATTTATTATGTGAGAAAGAACACCATAAGGTGCCAAGAGATAAGAAACTATGTAGAAAATATGTAGTTGCCTGGCTCAATTATGCAAAAATACACAATTGGTCAATCAGAATCAAGTTTGAAAAAACTAAATGAAGCCATGTTACTTATTGTAATATTCATTTCGCTATGATTTCTCATACAAAATGACATGATATCCCATGAAAGTGATGAAAGATATAACTACACACTGTGAAAAATATTGTTGGCTTAAAAAAAAAGTAAGTTACATGGTTGCCTTAAAATGTTGAGTTCATACAATTAATGAGATTGGTTTAATCAACAGAAACTCAAAATATTATGTCATCTGAACCACATTATCCGAGTTGATTTGACAAAAGAAAAAAAAATTGTGATAAATCATGAAAATAATTTTGTACAGTATTGCTAGAAATTCAGTTGCTTTGGATAAGTAAATTATGCAAAAATATTTGAACACCAGGACTGGCCAATCAAAATCAAGTATTCTAGGGAGCAGTGTAAATTATTGCAATATTAATTTTGCTATGATTTCTCTCATAACATAAAAGGTCCTAGCCTCAAAGATAATTTTAATTACAAATCAGATATTGAAGCGATAATAGATGTTAAATATGTGGGAAATGATCGCAATCTCAGCATAATCCAACAAAGAAGAAAGATAAACCAGTTATATAAATGAATACTATGGGATAATTATTAATTCATGAGCATTTCCAACTCAAGTGTAGCAAACACATTTTAAAAGTACTTTAAGGCCCACGCAGAGAATTTTTAGAGATTCTATATTTATTATGATTAAATTCACATGAGTGTAATGAAAGAATGTAGATATTTGTAGATAGTGCATAGTGTATTCAAACATTTTTGGAGTATTAATAAAGTATTAATAAAAATGTATTAGGACCAGTGCTAAAAAAAAAAAAAAAAAAAAACTTTTTGTATGCTGACCTGTTTTATTTCCCTGAGAACCTTTTATGTTAAAAATTCTGGACATAAGTTTTTATGTGAGCTTTTGACAGACTTCATAATTAAAGCCTTTGTCAAGTTAATAGTTTTGATGAAAATATATGTGGCATAAGTGACTTCAATGCAGTGTCTCTCTATACAACAAGAGAAACATGCGCAATGTTTCATGTTTCAGCTTTATGAATGATCTTCAGTATGATCTTAGAAATCTGTTTCCAAGGTGATAAACATAAAAAAAAAAATGCTCAGTACCGAAGGTTACAATTATAAGCATTTTTTTTATATGGATGTGCAGTTTGTAACAATTAACTGAAGAAAAGCTCACATGTACTCTTGTTTTTTGTCACATGTATGATTACTGATCTGACATTTAATCTAAACTCGAGAAACATGTGACATGCTGCATAACTGCAAAGAACAAAAACTAAAACATCTGTC